GAAGCCCAAGGTTAAACTCAATCTTCCGAATGTTAGTTTTAAATTATGATGTACTTAAAACGTAAACTAGCAGTTATGCAGATTATGTAATAATAGTTTCAGAATTAGCACTTAAATATAAAGCCATAAGTACTTCAAAATTCTTTCATCTTCTTTAAGATCATGATATGCATTTACCAAATAGCTCAAATTTAAACACTTATCTTTTTCATACTGTGAATTTCAGTCCCTTTCCCTTCTACCTTCTGCTATTTCAGTATATTTTATACCAAGTACTTAAATTATTTTTGTTTCCTCTTATATTAATAAAACAGCCATAATTTCCAATTATCACAAGGCATACTCTAAGCTAAACTTCGCATGTTTTTCAAATCCCTCACCTTATTTGATGCCTTTTTCCAACTATGCTAGCTCACAATTCATTCAGTCATTCAACATTAAGCAGCTTCTATTTACCAAGCGCTGTATTAATTGCCCAGGATATGGAAATGCTGGATACACAAACCCTGACCTCAAGGAACTCAGTTTACTAGGAGATGGACATGAAATGAATCTATCCCCAAGCTGAGAAGCTACCTCAGATAGAGGTAAAGAAAATCAAACAACTGCAGATCAGAGCTACCTGAACTCGTGGCTTCCACTTTAACTGGCCCTTGATGTTGCCACTTAACTGTCCTTAGCTGAGTTTTCTCTTCTAGTTTCCATAGTAACTTTTCCAAAGTTTCTTCCCCATCCTAAATTTCCCAACCCTCTATCCTCTTCTTCACTTGAGGCATGGGCCATCAACTTCATCCAAAAAATACACAGTCCATTTGTCAATGTCCTCTTCACTTACTGACCCACCCACATCTTCGTCTCCATTTCTTTCTTTTTTGTCCTTTTTGAGACCGGCCGCACTGCGCTCAGCCAGTGAGCACACCGGTCATCCCTATATAGGATCCGAACCAGCAGCGGGAGCGCTGCTGCGCTCCTAGCGCCGCACTCTCCCGAGTGCACCAGGGGCTTGGCCCTCCATTTCTTTTGTAATAGAACAGACCTCTCTCTAAGATGAATCTGTTCACCATTTTACACTTTACATACTCCCTCCTTCTGAGGAACTGAACAACGCAACATCACTGACATTTTCCTATCAGCTCTTTACCATCAGAATTAAACATGCTACAGTTGTTCTCATACCAAAATCGAAATCCCTTGATTCTAATCTCCTTTAGTTCCCACTTTATTCTTCTCCCACCAGCTTCCTAAAAGAGCTCTGCACACTCTGCCTGTATTTCCTCACCTTCCCTCACCTCCGTTCACTAGTCAGCCATGCTTTTACCAGCCACTCTCCTGAAACTGTTCTTGCTGTAAGTGCACACAGCCATTTCAGTCCTTATCTTATTTGTTCTCTTGGCAGCACCTGTCGTCCCTAACTACTTGCTCCTTCTTCGAGACTTCTCCCTTGGCTTCTCAGACTGCATGCTCTCATCCTGCTTGCTGGCTTTCCTCTTGTTTCCTTAACACACTCAGCTGCCTCTGCCCACCTGTTAAATGTTGATATTTCAAGGGTTCTCTCCTTGGCCCTTTTCTCAATCTTCACTCCCATGCTTTTGACATGCCAGTCACTTGCAAGCCTCTATTTGTAACCCAGATTGTTCTGAATTCTAGACCTCTAATACATACATCTGATATTTAGGTATCTCTTTTGGAATATTTCCCGGACACTTCATAACCTCAAACTAGTTTTTACCATAAGCCCCTTGCACTTGCTCTTCTTTGTTTCTGGAATGCTCTGCCATCAGATACTGACATGATGGGCTCCTTTGTATCATTTGGGTCTCAGTTCAAATACCACCTTCTCAGAGGCTTTTCCTTGACTACCTCCTCTAATTCGTCCATCACAGCAAGCCATAATCCAACATCATTTTATCATAACAATTACAACTACATGAAGTCAATGTTTCTATTTACGGTTTGTTTCTCACTACTAAAATAAAAGATTCCTAAGAACAGAGACATGGTCTGTCTTGTTCACTGTTGTATTGCCACAGTGCCTGTCCTAGGAAATCTCAAGAAATACTTATTGAAACTCCCAAATTATGAACCTTGGAAACATTATGCTAAGTTAAAGAAGCCAGACACAAAAGGCTACATATTGTATGATCCTATTTATATGAAATGTCCAGAACAGGCAAATCTATACAGAAGGAAAGTGGATTAGTGGTTGCCTAGGGCTGAGAGGTTGGAGGAAAGGGAGTGTGACTGCTAATGGGTACAAGGTTTCTTTTTAGAGTGATGAAAATGTTCTGGCATTAGAGGGTGGTGATAGTTGTACAGCTCTGGGAATATTCTAAAAACCACTGAACTGTATAATGTAAAGTAATGAATTGTATGGTATGTAAATTATATATCAATAAAGCTGTTACAAAACAACAAAACTCCCAAATTTACTCTGGATCTGCCCATCTCCTGTACTCCTTGAGTGAATAACACAACCCTTTCCCAGTTACCCAACCTAGGAATCTGAGTCATCCCAGCACTCCTCTCTGCCCCGCCTTCCCTCCCCACAACTGTCCCTTCAGATACATCTGATCAGTTACAAGTCCTAAAGATTTAACTTCTGTACTCTCTCAAACCCATTTCTTTCCAACCCATGCCACTCATTTCATTTCACTCATTATAGGCTCTCATTGCTTAAACTTGGGTTATTTCCATTACATCCTACTGGATCCCTCCACTTAATCCAAATTCACCTGCTACACTGTTGCTAGGAGTGATTGTCCTAAAACATAATTCCCACTATATCTCATGCTTGCTTAAAATCCTTTGTTGGCTTCCTATAACTGACATGATAAAGGCCCCAACTCCTTGATATGTATATGAGATCCTTCACAGACTGGACACTGATAGCCTGCCCCACCTCATCTACTAACCTTTTAGCTACAGCCATGAAAACTGGCCACAAGTTATGACCATTCTCATTTTTACATGTGCCACTTCCTCTGCCTGGTACATCCTGGCCCTCACACTGTCTTTAACTCCTACTCCTTCTTTATGATTCAGCTCAAGCATCATATTCTCTAGGGTGCATGAGATTGCCTCCTTTTCCTCGAAGTTAGAAATCCATTTTCCATACTCTCCGGCACTCACTGCAATGCCTACCTGTGCTCTTATATTAGCTATCAGTTACTGAGCACCTGCCATAATCTTTGCACCTAAGTGTTGTTATATTATTCCTACATGAGGAAACAGGTTCAGTGAGGTTGTTGTACTAGTAAGTAGAAGACTAGGTAATGAACTTTAGGTCAGACTCCAAAGTAATGGTCTCCTATTACTCCCAGTACTTTCCACTGTAATTCTCTCCAAAAGGGTGAAAGCATTTAACTCGGCCCCAGTTTTATTCTATCCCCAGGGTGTGATGCTTGCCACTTGCTCAGTGTTTGCTAAACACAGGAAGAGATGACAGGTGTGAACTAAGCAGAAAGAAACTTGGGTTATATTCCAAGCAGGTGCTCAACGAAGACAATGAATGTGTGGTGAAGATACTTTCTACCTTCTGAAAAATGTACACATTCATGTAGTACCAACTAATATCTAACAATATACCCATGATATGGACTTAAATTGCTCATCTGTAGGGATAAGTGCTCCACATTTATATCTCCCTTTCTCGGCAGCATTCCAGAATGCTAAAGGCCATCTCCACTGAAAACCAGTCTCCTATGACGGTCAAGGGCTGAGATTTTGTCCTTAACATCTCTCTGCTCTTTCTCCTCTTCAACTTCCCACCTTCCTTATTCTGCTTCGGTCTGAGCTAGGAAGGTCAAAACTCTTAGGAACTCCCTCACTTATTTTCTCTCTTTCAAGTCCTGGCACATGTCAAGTCCTGAAGGTGATAAGAAACAGATTTAGCTCTTCCTTGCACTGGTATAGTCTCATCCAGGTCCTCCTCTCATCCTGTGACTCATTAGCATTTCCAGTTCCCTAGTGGCCTGCCCTGACGCACAGATCCGTGTTTGTGCTAGTTGACAACGTTTTGTTTTTGTTATTTTTTTTAATAAAAATCCCGTATATGCAAGAGCCCAGTGGCTGCAAATAACTTATTTTTTTTCCAACTTCAACATACACTCCCCTGAAGCTGAAAAAAAGCAAGATCCCATTCAGCCTAGCAAGCCCCTTCCTATCCACAATTCTCCAAATCCCCGGAGGCTGAGAGAAGTGGCCCGCAACTGCGGACCGAGTGCAGGCCGGTGAGGCCTGCTGGAGCGGGGGCGACGGAGGCGGCCGACCTCCCCCGCTCCCCCTCCTGGCCTCTCACACAGCCTTTGGCTTCATTCCCTCTCTCGCTGGTCCCTTACAGGGGTCGGATCAGCAGCTGGTCGCTCTCCTCAGCAGGAATCGCAGACATTGCAGAGGTCAGAGGGCGAAGCGGGGACGAGGAACACGTAGTCTGGGTCTTTCTAAATCGGAAGCACAGCCACGGGAAACGAAAGAACGAAAAACCCATCCACCAAGAACACCACTTCCGGCAGTCTGGCTCCCGCGGCACTAGGTTCCTCCCCTCGACTTCCGGTTGGAGACCCAGGCTGCGGAGGTTCCTCAGAACGCTGCGCGCGGGAAGCTGGGGCGGGCCGTCAGGACTGCGCCTGCGCACAGACTCGGAGGCGGGGCCTGGCGGACGTGAGGAGGAGGAGGGCTGGAAAAGCTGGCGCTGGATTCGGAGCGGAGTCGCTGCGCGGGCGGCTGGGCGCTGCGACGCGGGCGGAGGCGCAGGCGCCCCAGGGATGGGGCTCGCGGCCGCGAGGTGAGCGCCCGGCCTTCTCCCCACCCCGGGCCAGCTGAGGGCTCGTGGCGGGAACGCGGCCCCGAGGGCGGTGTGGGCGGGAGGCCGGCAGCCGGGACGGCTGGGTGGGGCCGTGGGGGAGCCGCGGTGCCCGGCTCCCGGGGGACCGTCCTCCTGTGACGCCGGGGGGTCGGGCTTGGATCCGCAGAGTCCGGCCCCGGGAGGGAGGCGAGCGCGAGGCGCCCTCGCGTTCGGTGCAGGCTTCGCTCCTGTTCCGCCTCAGTCCCCGCGCCCTGCACTGGCTGGGGCTTGTGTCTATCTCGTTGACTGTCGCATCCCCCGTGCCCAGCACGTGGCGGGCACCCCATCACGGTGACAGGTATGTGCGAAGCAGGCTGGTGTCTGGAAAGAGCTTTGGAGCCAGCTCTGTCTAGGTCCAAAGCGTGGCCCCATCCGTTCTTAGCCCGGTGACCTCGGCACGTCACTGAGTCTCTTGGCGCTTTGGCGACCACATTTGACAGGGGCGGTCCTATTGCAACCTCGCTGCTCCGTAGTGAGGGTGGGAGGTGTCTAGTTCCTAGCACTGTGCATGGCACGGTGTTCAGTACTGGGAACTGTGATCTGGGTGTCACCTCCCCGGAAAGTCCTCAGGTTCGTTAAGCATGTCCTCTGCCAGGCTGTGCTGTGCGCTGGGTGTACAGAGATAATCAGCCGGACCCGCCTTTGACAGCGTGTAGTTTGGAGGGTGGGATGGTATAAGTGGACAATAACACACTGTGATGCTGGGATCCGGGAGTACTCTCAAGCACTGGGTCCCTAGGCTCAACCCGGAGGTCCAAGGAAGGCTTTCTAGAAGAGAAGAGGCCTGAGATGAGTCTGGAAAGGTAAGAGGTAGCCAGGTGTCTATGAGGAGAAGGACATGCCGGGCAGAGGGAATGAGGCGCAAAGCATGGGGGAAAAGGCAGCGCAGAGCTTGCGGAGACCCGGCTCTGCGTTCCCGAGAGGTTAAGTGCACCGTGGAGGGCCTTGCGTGTCCTGCTGAGAGCTTTGATTTTAGTCTCTCACCTTGGGGAACTAGTGAAGGATTTTAAACAGGCTAGTGACATGAGATTTATGTTTAAAAGAAATCATTTAAATTATTCTGGCTGAAGTGTGGAGGGAGACCGGTAGGACAACGTCCCTTATCCATGAAATATCTTCTGCAGGTTTGTGAATTCTTCCTTAAACTGTATGCCAAACTTTGTGTATGCGTGCATTTTTGTAGGTTGAGGATCTGTTGCTTTCATCAGATACTAAAAATATAATTTTATATACTAATAGTCTAGTGATGATGTGGGTCCCTGTTAGAGAGCTGGGTCAGAGAATTCTCCAGGTGGGGCAGTCAGTGGATCCTGGTGCTTGATTGGATGTGGCGGCTGAAGGACAGAGAGGAAGTGATGATTTCCTGGTTTCTACCGGCAATTATATGATTTCCTGAGACTGAGAGGAGGGGAGCAGATCTGGAGGGGAAGATGATGGGTTCTGCTTTAGGCAGTTTTGCATTCAGTGAACCTGTGGAACATCCAAGTGACAGTCAGTATCACTGGCCTCATTCTTATGCATGAGTACTCAGAGGCAAGAACTATTTGCTTAAGAACATGCATCAAAATAGCAGCAGATACCAAAGACTTTAAGTAATGCTTTCCCTCCCCTAAGCTCCTGGACTGATGAAGAAGAGAAAGTCTGAAGGAGTTGGAAAGGTATTATAGCACAGGGTAGTGATTTCCAAGTTGTTCTAGTGTTCTAGGGATTTGAGGAAATGCTTCAGGATTCCACGAACAGTAGAATCAGATTTTATCTTTAAATGATATTTAAAATTGTTATAGGTATAAATATGTATTTATATATACTTAAGCATAATGTGGTTAAATATGTTCTATACCAACATTTACTCCATCAGAGACCAGTTAGAGGATACTTTGTGCTGCTAGGTTAATGGAGCTTTATGCAGATGGTGGAATAAACCTCTCCCGCCATCTCTCTCTTACTAAAAGGTATCCTGTGATGGCTATCGTTTGCTGCAACGTATCCACAGTAGCCTTCTAACCAGTCTTCCTCTGGGGAAGACATTTTTACTCTTATCCTATGGAGTTATTTGCTACTTGGAAGCCAGAGTAATATTTTTGAAACAGAAATCTGACATGTCACTTGACTGCTTTTTAAAAGCCCCTAGAATCTTTTTGTTAAACCTCAAATAAAACCCAAACTGCTATCCTGGCCTGCCATGTCTCTGTGGGTCTTTCTCCTCATCCACTACTGCCCCCTGCTCCTGCTCTGGCCTGATTGGCCTGTCACTGTCCTCGCATCAGCGTGGTCCCTGGGGACTTCACGCTTGCCTTCCGCCCGACCTACAGTGCTTTCTCCCCAGCTATTTATGGCTGCCCTCGCTTCTGCAGAGCGTTTTTTTCTCTCTAAAATAATCACCCCTTCCTTCGATCACCCACCTTGACTTGCTTTAGTTTTCCTTATAGCAAGTATTGTTTCCTGATAGTATGTTTTATATTTGTTTTTCTTGTCCGTCTGTCTACTCCCTCTGAAAATAAGCTCCCATAGGTCAGGGGCTTTGTTTTGTTCACTAATGTAGCCCCAGCACCTGGACATTCATTGACTTCCCCATGATTTACTCATTCTTTTTCCTTTACCAGGTACATTGTTTTTCTGAAAAGAATTGACCATGTGTGCGTGAAAGGAAGCTCTCAGTGCAGATTGCTCTCTGTGGGACCTGTGAAGACGATACAATAGTGTTCAATTCTGTAGTAAGCACATTACCTTGTTTCCGCTGTAGAATTCAATTTTTGGTAAAAATCTGTTAAGAATCTCTTATTCATAAATCCTCTTGGAAGGTGGGTCACAGTTGTCTCAGCTATAAAGTGCAGATTATAACCCTTGAGGGTAGGAGCTTAGAGCCCACAGCACAGCATGTGATGCAGAGCAGGACTTTAAAAAACATCCGTGGAGCAAATGAATACGTCACACAATTGCTGTGAGGATGTAATGAGACAGTATATTTGGAAGTTCTGTGAGCTGTGCCACATGCAGGTTAGTTAATTTCCAAGTATAACGGGTGTGCTCCTGTGAACTGGGCAAGGATGAATCTTATGTCTCCAAGGCATTGTTAATTTTTTAAAAAAGGATATATGTAACACCGACTCTGAGAAACTTCAGGTCATCTCCTTAGCTGGCTCTACTGGAGCAGAGAGGTGAGAATCTAGCACCTAGTAATGTTTTTATATCAGCTTTTACTTCAAGATATTTCAGGACTTCAAGAAAAACTCACATTTTTGAGAGGTGTGAGTGTCTTCTGTTTTTAGCTCTGCCAAGTACAGAATGTGAACCTGGGACAGTTACTCAGTGTCTCGGCCAGTAAACTGTGTCTCATATTTTGCTAAAATCTTAAATTGATTGAAGTAAAGCACTTAATATTTGAGAACTAGATGACGTCTGTCTGTTATTTATGTGAAAAATGCTTTTCACACATCTTTATAGGACAAGAAGGATTCTGCCTTTTTGATTTGTGATTTGTTGGGTTTGTTTTTTGGAATTTAATAGAAAAAGAAAAAAAGAAAAAAAAATAGTATCCAAGGGAAAATATGTTTTAAGTAAAAGGAATACAGACAGTCCCTGACTTATGATTCAGCTTAAGATTTTCTGACTGTACAAAAATGTGAAACCTTTGTTTTTCACTTTCAGATCAGTAGTCAATAAATTACATGAGATATCCAATACTTTACTCTAAAATAGGCTTCGTGTTAGATGATTTTGTCCAACTGTAGGCTAATGTAAGTATTCTGATCATGTTTAAGGTAGGCTAAGCTATGATGTTTGGTAGGTTAGGGGTACTACGTACACATTTCACATAACTCCATGGTAAGTCAAGGAGCATCTGTACACCCATGGAACTGGAAAGAATTGATGATTTTTATTCCTATTATGCATAAAGTGATTTAAAATTGCTTTTATTGATGTAACTAACCAACGTTTGTTCTTCTAGGGGATCTTCTCTGGATCAAGCTATGGTGAAAAATGTTTCGGAAAGGCAAAAAACGACACAGTAGTAGCAGTTCCCAAAGTAGTGAAATCAGTACTAAGAGCAAGGTAGGGGAAATGGAATTTGGAATGGAATCATAAAGCAGTGAGAATTTTGTTTCTTCTCACTGATACTGCATAGAGGATACTAATCTGACTTCCTGATATTCAAACTAGGTGTGTTTTAACATTCATTTTTGCACTAGAGATATATTCTGCTTGGTTTAATTTTATTGTCTTAGTGGATTTTCTGAAATTCTTAAGTCCATTAAACTAGATGGGACACAGTGTGTGTCACTGAAACAAACACTGATTTAAATTTTTTTTTTCCTTTTTTTTTATTGAATCATAATTGATTATACATATTTTTGGGATTCAATGTTGACATATGTTGATCAAATCAATATTACTAGTATGTATATTGTTACAAATTATACTTATTCTTTATGCCCTTTGTCCAATCTCTCCCTATCTCCCTCTCCCTCCCCCTTCCCACCACTGATAATCCTAAATTTCTTCTCTTCTTCTGAAAGAGTAATGGTTACTCTATTGGTTTTTTGCCTAGATGATCTGTCAAGTGCTGAGAGGTTTGTTCAGGTTCCCCAATATTATCATAGAGCAGATGCTTCTTCTGTCACTCTGGAATGGGCTTTGTGGAGAGAGACATCCTGTTCTTTTCTTTGGTCTCTGCTGGTGACTCTCCTTGTGTCAATGCACTCCAGTGGTTGGTGGACCATCTGCATGGTGGTTGTGGCATCTAGCCACTTTTGCAGCAGCTGTGGTTACTGTGGTGGTTGTGGTGGGCCACTCACATGGAGGTGATGTTTTTGGCATGCTCCTTGGTGCTTGTGGTGTGCCTGGTTGAGGGGGGGGTCTGGCCCCTGGCTCTATGCCCCAGGCCCCCGTGTGGGGCCCCAAGGTACTGGTTATGGGCAGGGGGTTGGGTCCCCAGCTCGATGCCCCAGGCCCCTGGGTGGGGCCCTGAGGTGCTAGCAGTGTGCCTGGATGCTGGTGGGGGGGTCTGGTACCCAGATCCATGCCCTGAGCCCTCAGGCAGGGCCCTGAGGCACTGGCTGCATGGTTGTGGGGGGGGGGGTGTTTGTTCTGGTCCACAGCTTCATGCCTTAGGTCCCCTGGCAGCCCTGAGGCACTGGTGGTGTGCCTAGGCCAGAACTAATTTTTTGTCCTTTGCTTACTTCTAAAATTGGGGGAACTTCCTGCAGGAACCAGCACTTGAGCTGTGTGGCTGAGCTAAACTGCTGCTTTGCTACTGTTTCCCTAGGGAAGGCTTTTTGTGCAGCTCAGGGTTTAATGGTTGACCTTATATGTACTTCTAGCTCTCCAGAGACCAGGTGCACCTGGGTTGTGTAGAAACTGTGATCTGGGCCTGAATCTTTTCATCAAACTGCACCGCATGCAATTCTGCATTCCTGACCAGTCTCCTCTGAGTGGTCCTGTGCTGCTTGGGGGGTGAATCGGCTATCCTTGCTGTGTCCCAGTGTTCTCCTGGTGGGCCTGTCTCCCCCACCGCCCATGCTCCAAACACTTCCCATGGGACGGGCTCTGCACTGGTCCCTTGCGTTGACTTACTGGCCTCTGAATGGCCCCCCTTTTTCAGCTGTTTTGTCTCCTTGCTCCTGCATGTGTCCACAGGAAACCTATTAGTGGTCTTGCTGTCCTGGGAGCCACCAAGGCCCTTTTCTCCCCTGCTGCCTCCAAGCAACTCCATCTGAAGGGCACAGCTGTGGCTTCTGCTGGCTCCTGCTCCATGTGCTCAGCAGCTCCAGCCTTAAAGTGGTCGCAGCCCGAAATGCTCCAAGCAGTTTTTTCTTTCTCTCATTGTGGTTTCTCCCACCTTCATGAACTCCGTAGGGCTGGGACTGGGTAGAGGGGGACAGAGCAATGAGAAAATGTCAGGGGCTGGGGATGTTTTGAGATGAGCTCTCCCAGGACCTGTTGATAGATCAGTTGTGGAGTATGAGAAAAAGAGAGGACTCAAAGCTTAACCCCTGAAAATAACAGCAGTTGGTTCAGGTGCTTTATAATGTGGAAAGCACTTTCCCATATATATCTCCTCTGACCTGCCTGGTAAGTAGAGAAACACCGTGGGTAGTAGGTGCCACCCCAGGATCTGGCTGTTTGGCTTGCAGGTTAATACTAGTTAATGCTTGTCTACAGCGCTTAGAACTGTACTAGGTGCTGAGCGACGTAGAGGAAATAGATTCTTCCAGGTGCTTCAGATGCCATTTGAGATGTGATTAATGCAATAAACAGGAAATAGTCCAGACACAGTAAAGAGCCAAGAAAATGGGAAATTGCGTGGGATAATGGCAAATATTACTTGAATAATTCGGAGAATGGGGAGATTGTAGTGCTAGAGTCGTGGAGGAAGTTGTATTAGTTGTGGTTCTCCAGAGAAAACCACTAGGATGTGTATATGTTTCAGACAGAAATTGATTTTGATTTATTTTAAAGATTTATTTTAAATAGTTTGCTCATGTGATTGTGGGCTGCAAGTCTGAGATCTGTAGGGCAGGTCAGCAGGCTGGAGACCCCCGGGAGGTGATGTGCAGCACAGGGGATAAGGGCCTCTGGAGGCAGCATTTTTTCTTCCTCAGAGGACCTGGGTCTTCTTCCCTTAAGGCCTTCAACTGCTTGGATGAGGCCAGCCCCACACAATGGAGGGTCATCTGCTTTACTCCAAGTCTACTGATGCAAATGTCGATCTCATCTGAGATTGTCAGTCTCAACACCTTCCCAGAGATATCTAGACAGGTGTTAGACCAGATGTCTGAGTACTGCAGCCCAGCTAAGTTGTCATATAAAATTAACCATCACAGAAGTCTTAAAAAAAAAAAAGTAGCAGTGAATGGGGCATAAAACATGTGGGTAGAATATGTGTAAATTAAGAAGGTTAGACATCCTAGTTACGGGTAAGAAGATAGGGACTGAGTCTAGTAAGTGAGTTGGATGGTATGTCAGGATCAGAATCCTAGAGGAGTAGAGTATTTTAATTTGAAGGGACTTTAGATATTACGTAGCCCAGAGGTTCCCACATTTCATTACTAAAGAGCCTTTTTATTGTTTCCCACCCTAGTGAACTCTCTGATCTAAAAGCTGTGTGTTTACTCAGTGCCAGGGCTTGGGTGAGGCCAGACAGCTGCATCCAGCACAACACGTGAGGGTCACGAAATGACCCTGAGAGATGCCTCCTAAGACCTGCGTCCTGGGTGCCTGCCCTGTCTCCCCCACCCTGTGAGGACCACACCATTGAGTCATAACAACCACACTGTGGTGTGACGGAGACATGTGACATTCAGAATTTCTAGTCAGGGCAAAATAAGCAGCGTTGCCACAACTGAGTTGATAGACTTCTAGCCAGCAGCACAGAAACTTGACATTTTAGGAATCCTGTGCAGTCTGAGGATGGGAAAATTAACCATTTCCTCTAAAGTTTTTGGACTCTGGGAGCTAGTCAAGAACCTCCCTACTGCTCCCTTCACAGCCTTCAGCATGAGGACCCCAGAGGGGAACAGTGATCTGGCCCAACCTCTTGTTTTCTAGATCAGAAAGCAGATGAAGGGAGACTCCATGGCCTGCTGCTGCACAGCCAGGCCTGGGGCCCAGATTTTCTAATCCTGAGGACTTTGCTATTGGCATGAGATGTTGGTTCTGGGATGTGGCTGGTGATTCAGTGCGGGCACCCAGGATGCAGTGGGACTGGCCAGCGCAGAAGGGGCCTTTACACCATGCCTCGGGGTGTGGATTTTGTCCTGAAATGATGGGGAGTTGTTCTAAGCAACTGTTAGATTTGTTTTAGGATGATGTCAGCTTTTGTTGTTGTAATATTCTGAACATAGGCAAAATAGATCAGCTTCGCCCTTCCTGTTCTGGTCAGCAGTCACTAGGGACTGCTGTTTTCCTGTTGGACTCTGTCCTCGCTTCAGGAGCTGTGCTCGTCCCAGAAGCCATCTGAGTTCATAACAGTGCAACTTCCCCGCCTCCCACCAATCCAACGTTTAGGCTGTTTCCAGTTTTCAGTTCTGCACATAGCCATGTTTTCATTTTAGATTGTGTTCCAAGAAGTCCAGTTATTGAAAAAGGGAAGAACATATTTAAGACTTGATGCATTTTTGCTTTCACTTTGATTCACTTTGTTTATTTTAATCCAACGTTTAGGCTGTTTCCAGTTTTCAGTTCTGCACATAGCCATGTTTTCATTTTAGATTGTGTTCCAAGAAGTCCAGTTATTGAAAAATGGAAGAACATATTTAAGACTTGATGCATTTTTGCTTTCACTTTGATTCACTTTGTTTATTTTTGGACAGCCAGCTGGTATAGGGGTGGAATCCTGGATCTTGGTGTTATTAGCACCATGCTCTAACCAACTGAGCTAACTGGCAAGCCCCTACTTTTTAAACTTTAAAAAAAATTTGAGCGTACTTCTAAAATTTAATTTTGATGTGAGTTGCAAAAAAATGACTCATATTTTGAAACAAATGTTCTCACGGGACGTTACTTCTAAAGAAATTAAGCACATTGAGAGTATAGCTACGTAGAACAAACTGCCCTTACATATGTGATTCTTTGTACTTTGCTTAAGTTTTGTTGGTTTCCCATTGCAATTCACATTGATAGTTGTGCTCTGGTCAGGCAGCCCCTGTATTACTGCTGTGGGCCAGGTGCTAGTCACAGTAACTGCCCGAGCACTGGAGTAGGACTGAGGACACCCAGATTTGGGATCTCAAGTATTTACTAGATATGACCTTGGATAAGTCACTTAACATCTCTGGTCTCTCTCATTTATTAAACAGGGATAATACTCCCTGCCTGGCTTTCTGCACAGGGTTCATTTGGAGTTCAGTGGAAATAAGGTGAAAGTAAAGCGTTGATCTTCACAAGGGATATCAGTATAGGGCATCTTATAAGGAGGGAGAGGTAATGGCTTAGATCTAGACTGAGAATGTGAACAGCACATGTATCTCATATTGGGTTAATAATGGAAGAGCAGTTGGGAATGTTTTTTTTCGATGTTTGCTATAGAATTTGTCTTTAGAAAAATCTGTTGCAGCCAGTCTGCCTGAATACCTGATTTTGTATATGTCATCTCAACTATAATAAAAAGTAATTTGAATGTGTTTGGTAGTAAACCTCTTCTTATATGTACGTTTATTGTTTGTTTTTATTTTTCAGTCTGTGGATTCCAGCCTTGGGGGTCTTTCACGATCCAGCACAGTGGCCAGCCTTGACACAGATTCCACCAAAAGCTCGGGTACATAAAAGGGCTGGGTCATTTATCGTCCACGGCTTTTGCTTCCTCTCCTGCCACTTTGACAAGAGTTTAGAAATGGATCAAGACTAAAAAGATAGGGTCAAGTTAAAAAAACAAAGAAAATGGACTGAGATTTGGTGGGATGTGGGTTGAGGGTGTGGTGTGGTTGGTGGAAACCAGTGCCTTGGAGGTTGGCTCTGGCCTGCGAGCAAACTGCTCTTAATGGGTCCTAGAGCAGAAGTGTTCAAGAACATCATGTGGCAAAAACTAGGAGTTTCAAAATAGCTTTGTAAGAAATGGGGTGGCAAAGGGTTAGTTATATTGGGCTTATGTTGTTTATGGGGAGTAAGACAAAAATCTTGATGATTAAAGGGTTAAGGAGCCATTTATCCTGGGGTACCCCGAGACACACTAGCTCGTCACCACCAGAAACACAGGTACTTAAGGGCAGTGTCTGTCATAGACCTTTGCAAACATTTATGCAGCCTCACAAAGTTAGTAGCTCCTTAGAAATCAAAATGTGGCTTCTAACCCAAGCTCCATAAATAGCTAGTGATTAATTAGAAATACATTCATTCTCTTGTCTAAAATCCTACTTTTCCCTTCAGGATCATAGACTAGTCAATCTATAAAAGAGAATATTGTAACAAAATCCTTTATCTTTATTTCCCGATGCCTTTAAAATATTAAAGATGTGGGCATCTTTTTATTCCATAAACATAATCTAAAAGTGTATTTTCCTTAATATGGCAGAGTCATAAATAGTTGTGGTGATTTTTACATTGGCTTAATTTTATAGCACAAAATCCAAAAGCCAAAAAACAATTAAATATCATTATGCGTTATAAAGGTACTCAGTCATTATCTAGTTGGCTCGTTTTTCCTATTTGTTTTGAAATGAAGATTATTAATCTTAATTTATTCCTATTATTGAGACCTTTATAAGTTTAGTATATTGTGAGTCACTGAGGAAAAAGTTTAGCGAAATTTTAAGTTCTTCCCCATTACATCAAAACATTTTGTATTTTAAAAATTTATAATTCTAATGACACAGCCTGTTTTTTATTTGGGAAGGGACTGATGATACCCCATAATGCAGACCTTCTTTTGAAGTCTTACTATTATCATTTTTCTTTCACCTTTAGGACAAAGCAACAATAATTCAGATACCTGTGCAGAATTTCGAATAAAATATGTTGGTGCCATTGAGAAACTGAAACTCTCTGAGGGAAAAAGTCTCGAAGGGCCACTTGACCTCATAAATTATATAGATGTTGCCCAGGTAAAAAAAATTTTTTTCAATTTAAAGCCTCTGGTTATAACAGTCTAGAGAGTCAAGTTATGGCTTTGGAGAAAGATGTGTGCTCTTCCAGGTCCACTGGATGGCACTGTCCCCACTGTCTTAGCAGAAGCCACAATTTCATCACTGTTACAAATATTTACTGTGCTCTGTGGTTGTGGATAGTGCAAGGTGCCTTGGAGATTGGGTCGCACAGAACACAGACATTTCCTTCAAACATAGTACTTTTTTACTTTTTAGAGGGCTGTCTGATCTTGTTTAAACGAGGAGCTGATTGTGGTGACTGGTTAAACCACATATAGGTTTTTCTTTTAGAACAATCTGGCAAAACCTTACTAAATCTCCATTGAAATAGTTTCATCTCTTTGAATAATCTAATTCATAGTGGTGTTGACCCAATGTGTCTATTTATTTATACCCTGTTTCCAACAAGAATTGAGGTGAGGTAGGTTTCAAAAATATATCCAGATATAAATAGATAAAAAATAAAGAAATCATCAGGAAGGAAAATTCAGAATGAAAATTAAGTCAAAGGTGTAAAGTTAGTGCATAAAATAGTATAAGGTCTATACCTCTGCCTGTGGTGGAAGCAGATGAACCAAAAGACTTACATAGTTAACAGAGTTAGTAAATTACTTCTGGAGTTTCTAGAAGACAAACTGCACATCTATGTGTTCGTTAACATAGGATATTACTACAATGGAAAGATTCTTTCCTCTGTTTAGAGAATACTAATCTTAAGAATGTACAATCTCTTAAATCATGGGGAATGGGAATATTAAATATAATGTTTCATAAAAGTAAAGGAAGTCACTTCTGTCTGAGGGAAACCAGTGAATCTAATTGCCATTAACAGAGAACTCCTGGTAGTCTGGACTAATACAATTAGTATTCCAGCATTTAGTATGGAATTACAGTTATTTCCCAACAAAGAATAAACTAACTAAAGTACCGTACTGAAAGACTACTAATGTTTCCCCTCAGAAATGCACTAGGATTATTTTAATTCTTATAAGGACTGCTAAATTTCTCATATCACCATAGAATTTTTGCTTGTTAAAATTCCATTATTGACAGTAGCATTACTATTATCCTATATTTTGATTCTTGGAATTGCTTTAAGCCTAGTGAGAAGAGATTGGCAAGAGGTTTCTATAACATTGTGAGGACCCAAGAATTAAGGTATTTGGACAAAGCTAATTTACAATTTCTTTAATGTAGGCAGATGGTTCCACAAAAACACTTACAGTGCAGACCTGATGGCCAACAATATTTATTTTAGAGAAGACAAATTAGGCAGTATTCTGATTTAGGAGATAAAACCAGATAATCTGTTAGGGAAACCATCAAGTATTATCTGCTGCTTTGTTTGTGAATAGCAAAAAATACTGATTAATGTTTTTGAGAGCCAAGTAACCATTCATCAGCAGCATTTGCCAGCCTGAAGCCCAGGGGCATGGAGACAACCAGACATATCTTACCATCTGGGTAGGATATAAAGTGACTGAGAAAAAGGGTTCCCACAACCGTGCTTCCTGATTCTTCCATGTGCTGACACTAGCAGAAGCTCTTGAGTATTTTAAAACCCAAGTAAAGACCTTTATTTTTCAAGTGTACATATTGTAATTTCACTGGGATCTACGAGGAGGATCTCAGTTTGTAATTGGTTAAAACCAACGCAGAGGAAATAGGATAATATGATAATATGCATGAAGTAGATGGATCTGAATTTTGTTCAGATTTGTGGATTGTAAACACACACACACATAGTGGGGTGGGGGGCGGCAGGGGGGGGGAAGAAAACAAAGAAAGAATAAACCAAAAAAAAAAAGGAAAAGTTTTGTTCTGCCGCTTCAGAGAGAAATTCTTGTTGGGCTAGTGTTTACCCTACATTCTTTAAAGGGTTTGGGTTTGTGATGGCCAGATACAAAAAATGACTAATCAGACTTTAGACTATAACATAATTTTAATGTATATTATGTAATTTATTTTTACATTAAAGCAAGATGGAAAGTTGCCTTTTGTTCCTCTGGAGGAAGAATTTATTATGGGAGTTTCCAAGTATGGTATAAAAGTATCAACATCAGATCAGTATGTAAGTAATATAATATAAGGAAAAAATGTGTTTTAGGTAATAGGGAATTCAGGCTGTTAAGAGCCCACTTGTAGTTAGGTCTGTTCCTGTTTGCAGAGTGGCTGGTTTGTAAACATTCCTGGCAGCTGGTCTTAAATGTGACCAATTTCTTAAGGTGAATGGGGGGCTTCCTTTTGTATCTCCTGTGTAGTTAGGGCCCATGCAATCCCTCATTGATAGCTCCTAATGCATTTTCAACTTAGCGCCCCACATCAATTGAGGGCAGCTATCAGCTTAGAAGCTGGGCATAGAGACCGGGATAGTAAGTTTAGAGCACCTTACTCCTTTCTTTCTGGGATTTAGGCAGGAAGGTGTGATCCTGAAGGCAAACTGCCCCATATCTGGGCATACTGGAATATTCCTTGGGGTGAGAAACCTATATAGCTACTTTTTTTTTTGTCTTTTTTCGTGTCCGGCAACAGATCGCAACCCTCGGTGCTGCTCCCACACCTCGCTCAGCCAGTGAGCGGGAACTGGTCTGTATGTGGGATCCGAACCCTCGGTGGGAGCGCCGCCACGCTCCCAAGCGGCGCACTGTAGCAGTGCGCCACCGGGCTGGCCCTATATAGCTACTTTTTGTCAGACCCGTAGATATGCTGTTTTAAGTCTCAGAATACATTCTGCATGGGAAATATGTCATAAGAACTGAGAAACACATAAAATAGTCATGCTTTCTGAACTTTTCCTGATTTCTGCAGGATGTTTTACATAGGCATGCTCTATATTTAATCATCCGGATGGTGTGCTATGATGATGGCCTTGGGGCAGGAAAAAGCTTACTGGCTTTGAAGACCACAGATGCAAACAATGAAGAATACAGCCTGTGGGTTTATCAATGCAACAGCCTGGTGAGATTTTAGTTACCTTGCTTAGTTTCTTATTCAAGTGAAGAGGCGTAACCTAGAAACCTGAATATTAGGTGCTAGGTTGGCCAGCTGTCCATACTTAGTGAAGGTTGTGAACTATTTCTGCTAGGCCCAGCAGCAGCAGTCGCTGTGCCTGGATTTATAGGTTTAGGGTAAACATAAAGCAGATGTATGTTGTCATCCTCCCTGACTCTGATCAGCTTTCTCACAGGCTGCAGCACGTGTGTTTATTGTGCATGTTCTTCTCTGAAGGAGGGCAGAAAGAGCCCCACATGCAGGGCAGCTCAAGGCATGTGTTCCGCTGATCTGGCAGGCATGTGTTGTCAGCTTTCCAAAACTGCTGATGTGTAGGTTTTAGGAAAGATGCTAAGAGGGTCAGGTTTATGCCTCTGTTGGTCAAATTAACTTCAGGAGGAGATTTACGAACAATGCTCTTACTGTATCTTTTCATATAATGTAGGAACAAGCACAAGCCATTTGCAAAGTTTTATCCACCGCTTTTGACTCTGTATTAACGTCTGAGAAATCTTGAATTCTGCAATCAAGTGGAAGTCAACTTCATCTGAAAGTTCAGCTGTTTTCTAAGTAGTTGTTTTCAGTCTGCAGTGTTGCATGGAACTATGAAGTGATCTCTTGCTCTAGACTTTCTGAAGAAAATGCAAATGTATAAAATATTGATCATTTGTTTTTATATTAAAGTGTATTAAACAGTGACAATTATTAATGAAGTTATTTTCTGGGATAAGAAGGAAACCTCCTAAGTCATTTCTAAATGCAAATAAGCTTAACACCTGAGTGTCACAGAAGTCCATTCAGTGAATAATAACAACATTGAGGACCTATCTGAGGAAGACTACTGAAATCTGATCTCTAGCAGCTTCCCACTTGGGGCTGTGGGCAGGCAGAGGTTTGGACTGTGGACCCAGGTTCATGCTGGTTTGGAACAGGGACACTGCCAACTTAAGACAAAGTAAATTTGCCAGAGTGTGTTTTCAAAATAACATGCTAGTAAACCACGTTTATCTCAGAGTGAAGAAAACCTTAAAAGAGTACTGCTTATGCTAAAAGTAACTAGTATTTAAAGAATCTCATGCAAGTATGCTAGTGTACTTAAAAAAAAAAGGACCATCAACACACAATACTTTAATAAAAACATTAAAAATAGAACCATGTCCATTTAAAAGTATTTTATTTTTTTCTCAGTCAAATGACTAGTTAACAGGAAGAGTAAACTTACTAAACATGCTCTAATTATAAATCACTGCATTAAGGACAATGAAAATAAGAATCAATTTAGGTTGTACAATATATACAGTTGTGCTGCAACTAGACCAAAGCAATCAAGTGATGAACTGAATATCATACATCTCAAAATAGCATTCTAAGCTGCATTTGGTTATCCCACCCCTTAGATCACACAGTATCTATTAGTCTGTGTACGTATCTCTGAGTCACGATCCTAGAAGTCAGATCTGATGAGAAATGGCATGCATAATGCCAGAATCCTGCAGCTGAAGTTCATGAAACGTAAACTTTAAATATAAATAGATATCTACAATGTTTTCTTTTCTCTTGGTTGCTTTTATTTAATTTGCAAAGAGCAAATAACTAGGAAAGGATATTAGCAGGGAAGTTAATATAATTTCTTCTATGGCAAGAGTACTATTAATTACTGCACAATAGCACCACCAAATTGTAGATTGGAAAAATATTTCCTAGATATTTATATACCAGTGAACCCGATAGATTAGTTTGGGACTGGAGTTCAAATATTGGTAAGAATCAATTTTACTCCTTATATAGCTGGCACCAGGTAGTCAAAAGGTTGACTGTAAGATACAGATGCAGGAGGATTGTTAAAATAGACATAAGAAGTGCACTGTGCAAAATACATCGTTTACTTTCTTAAATCTATAAGAAAATTAACTAAATGAAGGGTTCAAACAACAGAAATTAACAATTAGTGAAAATAGATGTAGTGCTTTAAAAAAAAGAGTTTAATTACAGATCTAACACATTTTTACCCAGAACTTTGAAAGGCAAAAAGTGATCGCTATACTATATAATAAAACATTCCAGTTTGTTCTGTCTTCTCTCTTCCTTTACAATAGAAACAAAAAGTAAAATGTTCCCCCGCCCCCAAGAGCTCTACACTTATAAGAGTCTTGTATAATAAAGACAGGCTGCTCCAATCAAATGTACCATCACAGCAAATGCAATCAGTATTGTTGCCTCATTTTCCAAGCCTATAAAATTGCCCCCAAGAGCTCTACACTTATAAGAGTCTTGTATAATAAAGACAGGCTGCTCCAATTAAATGTACCATCACAGCAAATGCAATCAGTATTGTTGCCTCATTTTCCAAGCCTATAAAATTTATTCCTTTAACTTTTGTTAAAAATCCAAGTGGGCATCGTATGCCTATTTATTCTCAAAGAATGCCAAAATTTCCAATATTCCTACTATGAATCTTATGCTCACAATTACTAAATAGAGGTATGACAGTCAAGTTCATTAAACTAATGTATCACATACAACCTAATCCCCCCACCCCCAAACAGCTTAAGTATATGAATGATATGATGGCCTTAAACAGTAAAACTGGGATGTTTAGGAGTATTTTATTACCTGGGACTTAGAGATTGCTGATATGCTCATGACTACAAACAAATGGACATTAAATTTCAAGATAGTATAACTACCATTCCTGTTGGGATATTATATAAATACAAGACACTAAACTGAGTAAACATTCTCATGATCTAGAAGGGGAAGCAGTGGTACACTCGGTAGGAAACAGCAAGTAACGTGTTAATATATCTGGTCTGCATCACAGTATCCCATTTGTATACAGTTGCTTTCTGTGTGATTAGCGAAGTTCATGAAGGCAAATTCCAAAACACCTAAAGCACATAAACTAGTTTAAAGAACTGTTTTGCAATCCGTTATCCTTAGTTTTTAACCAAATTCAGGAAATGCAGTTTTATGTAACCTCCTGGAACTGAGTTAACTGCTATTCCCATATGCTATAAGCATGACTGTTCACAGCAACAGGTTATAGACACACATGCAGAATATAATGGCAGCTGCAATCTCACAAATTAGGGCTAGAAAGTACAATGCTAATGTGTAAATTTCCAAGTTGCTTTAAATAGACATTGGGTGGGCCGGCCCGGTGGCGCACTGCTACAGTGCGCCGCTTGGGAAGCGCTCACTGGCTGAGCGAGGTGTGGGAGCAACACCGAGGGTTGTGATCCCGTTGCCGGTCCCGGTCTGGTACGGGCGCGACACTGAGGGTTGCGATCCGTTGCCGGTCACGAAAAAAGACAAAAAGGAAAAAAAATAAAAAATAAAAAAAATAAATAGACATTGGGTGGATTTCAAAGGAATACATGTCTTTAAAGGTGAGTTGATGGCATTTTATTGAGAAAGTCCAGGGCTGGGCTATGGGCTTCTGAAGCAGCAGTTTACTGGCTTCCTAAAATAATAATTGCACTAAAGGTCACCAACTCCAGAATTGAGCCAAGGAAAGCAGGAAGGATTTATTTCCGATACTCTTAAACATTTTTAGGTTTAGCTAATTCTGTAGTTGAAAGGTCTTGATTATTAGCTAAAATAACTTTTCAGTTCACCTTTTAGGAAATACAGTTTTTCCTAATAAAAGTATAGCAATGTTTCATGAAAACCACAAATTATAAAAACAATTTGCTTACATATAAAATTTTCCTTTGAGTTTTTAAAACAGAAAGGGGATAGAGTAAAATGGGCTACCCTACAGTACAATTCATGACACTGGCTATCTGGCAAGAGTTTTGGTACCAATAATGAAACAGGAACGTAACTGTTAAATGCTTTTGTTCAGTAGCAATTCAGTCAGCAATAAAGTGCACAAATGATACAGGGAACGCTCCTTTGCGACCAGGGTCTCCATCAATGTGGCCAATCTGTAATGGATAATGGTTTAGGTTGTTATAAAAATTCCAAACGTTGGAAACTTTGAAGGGCACTATAGCATTTGGTGAAAAAAAGAAGAGATTTGTCCAGAAGTATTTGGTAAAGCATCAGAACTACCTGTTCCTTTTCCCTCTCTTCTCATGTTTGCAGGGGTGCGTGCCTCTATGCGTCTCAGACACCCGCCTGGAAGGATGGCCCAGTAGTCTTGGGACACACAGGACAGCCCTTTGCCCACCACTCCCCACTTGCCTTTTTTTAAAAAAAAAATGAAGAAATTGAGAGTCAGAAGCCTGTGAGCTGTGAAGTCACAGAGAATGGCAAAGGTGTGACTTGGCTCCATTTAACTTTAGTCAAACATCTATGGAAGGCTTCAATAAATCCGTTTCTTTTTACTCTGGGTAAATTATATAAATTATACCCAAGAATGATCTCAACCATGTAAATTACGTAGGCAAATAAAAGTCTAAAAGAAAACTGAGGGTGGAGGGGGGCTGTGATTATGGGCAACGTTTACTTTCGTCTTTATACCTTTTTGTATTTTCCACATTTGGGGAAATGGACGGGTCCTTTCCACACGGCTACGGCTGTGGTCAGGCTGGAGCCGGCTGTCTCGTGGGCTGTGGGGCTAGTATGGGTGCCAGACCAGCCCTATTGCCTTCTGTCCTCATGCTCTATGCAGCCAGGCACCCACTCCTCATCCAGCAGCCACGCAGCAGGGGCTCATGGGAACCCGGGGGCTGTGGTGGGGCTGATGGAGGTGGGAACTCTTGACCCACAGACACTTTTTAACCCCTCAAGGGGAGACGAGGCCACAAGAAAAACTGGTGAGTCCAGCTGTGCCAACGGCAGTGCTGCAGGGCTCTGAGAGCTCACAAAGCCCCTGGAGACAGAGAACTTTAACCACAGGGGGGAGCTGTGCTAGGGCCGTGACTGAGGCCTGCATCGAAACTGCCAGTACTTCACAAAGTAAATTTCCATAAATCCTACTGGAGTCATCAGGTGAACTGCTCAATATGTGAGCTCAGTCTAGGATCTGGGCTGTCAGTGGCCGTGTGGCAGACACAAGTGCTCTGTGTACATGCTTCAGTCAAGCTCTTTAATCCAGCCACCCCCATTTTACGACGGCCGCCCCTCAGTGGTGCTTACCATGTCACCTTTACAGAGTGCTGTGGGTGATTCCCCTTCCACAGAAAATGTCACTAAAGCTTATAAAGATACAAGCAACCTGCCCAACGCTGCGAGCCTGTAAGTAGCCCAGTCTGAATTCTTGGGGTCACTAGGGGAAGCTCTGTGCTCATCTTGCTCCACCATGCAGCTGGATGTCTGCACAGCCTGCTCTTGGTTCAGGACCTGCTGACACCTGGGGTCTCTGCCCTCTAGGTGAGCTCCCTTTCCAGAGTCTCACTCCACTAATCCGGCAAGGGAGGTAATGACCTAGAAACTCAAGGACTCAAAATGCAGGGGTCTCATTGCAGGCTCTCAGGTGACTCTGGAAACTGCAGCCCAAGTGGCCTGCCCACACTGAAGAGGAGGGACCCTCCCCAGGTAATAAATTGGGCCCACTCAGAAGTGGGTGTCCATAAAGGAAGAGATAAGGGCAGAGCAGCAGTGGCCTGAGGACAGGATGGCTCGGGCTGAGAGAGCCTCACCTGGGAGCATCTCTCTCAGGCCAGGTGGGCTGGGATGTCCTTCAGCCCCCCGGCCCCTCCCACACCCAACCCCAACCCCAACTCACCCACCACTCCTGGTCCTCTTCCCCATCCACGACAATCACATCCCCCTCGGAGAAGGTGAGCTCGTCTGGGTTGTCGGCCACACAGTTATAGAGCGCTTTGACCCGCTTGGGCTTCAACTTGGTCTGCATCAGGAGAGGATGGGGGCAGAGGTTAGTGTGGCAGGAGCCCTAAGTTCTCGGGGAGAGAACTGGGCTGCTCTGCTTCCAACTGGTCACAGGAAGTCTGTGGCACCCAGGCTTGGGAAGAGCACAGATGTCAAGGTGGGGCGGTCAGTGCAGCTCGGGAGCCAGGGAGAGGAAAGGGAAGAGAGCCCAGCCGAGCGGAGATGGAGCAGCTGGGCCTGGTGCTCACATGTCAGGCTCATCTGGGGCCATGATGAGAAGGCCATGCCCACTGGCTGCCCAGATCCAAGCAACCACGTACCAGGAAGAAGCCCTTTGCCTTCCTCTGCCCAGGAGAAGAGGGAAAGACTTGTTTTTCCTGAGCGCTCGGAGAACAACCCATGTCCTCTCACCAGAGCAAAAGGGCAGGAAAGGATGCTTGTCCACTCACCGCCTGTGACTTCCTGGGCATGGGTGCAGGGGGCTGCAGGACCGTAGTGTTGCACGGAGGACCCAGAGATTCTGTTCCAGCGAGATCCATTGCTTTAGGGCCAAAATGAAGCAACTTTACCAAATGCCCATCAATCATAACCAGAAATGTAAACAATAAATATAAAAGCTACGGTGTCATGTCTGAGAGATTTCCTCAGATGTTCTGACCTTTTGAAGGAAAGTCCCCTAAAAGCCAAAGAACCTTCTTTCTGCCTTGGATGAAGCCTTTACAGAGCATGCTAGGTAGGCAAGTGTCCCAAAGCAAGTTAAATGTCACCCTGGGCCTCCCCAGCCCACCCACGTGAGCAGAAGTGGGGGCAGTGAGGGACACAGGGAAGAGGAGCCCCAGGACTCAGCTGCTCAGGAACAGGAGCAGCAGAGACCTCTAAGGAGGGCAGGATGGCTGCAGAAGGGAGTAGAGCTGGGCCCTCACCCAGGCTGACCACCCAGCTAGAGATACCCCCCACGTTGCCCCCACAAACAAAGCAGAAACAAACCCAGCCCCAAATTAAACAATTACCAGGTCCTCTTGGCTGGCCTTTGTTGATCAGCGGGGTCGACTTATCAGCCCTACAGAGAAGGCAAAAAAAACAGACTTAATGAAACCTGAGGCTTTCTGACCCTATCTCGTCCCCATTTATAAGGGAACCATCTGTGTTCAGGCAGAAAATGTGTGAACTGACTTTATCAATTGTCATTCAACTACCTTCTTTTTTGAAAATGGAAGAATGAGAGGCCCAGAGGAATGTATAAGATCCAAGGTTCCTGATCCTAAAATCAAGTCTCTTCCAAAGTACCCATCCACATGGGCCTGCAGCCTGGGGCTGGAAGCCAGGCACTGCCACTGGCTGTATCCTCAGTTTCCTCAGTCCCTTCCCTGATTGGGCCTTGGTCCCTTCATGAAAAAGGGAGGAGCTGAATCTTAATCTCAGGCCCAGATGGCTCTGCCGGGCCTGTCCAGGCACCACTGGTCAGTGTCACCCATGCCTCCATGCTGCTGGGAGCTGACGTGGCTGACCATGGGCCCTGGCACCAACTGTGAGCTGCCAGGTCCAGCATGGCCCGAAGCTGCGAGGCAGAAGCACATGAGTCAGGGGAGTGGCTCTCAGGGGTGTGGTGGATGGAGGTCTACCAACGCAGACTCGCTATATGGGAGGCCTGGATATGTGGACTGCTGAGAGTTGGCATATTCATCTGCAGAAGGTATGACACCAGACCTGTCAATTCTCGAAACAAGGACAAGGGACATGTGCCTGTCGATCTTCAGTTCCCTGGTGGATCTTGCTGGATCTCACAGGCAACAAGGAAGGGTTGGAGAAGCGGGAGAGTAGGACCAGGGAGGAGGTCGGGGTGGGCTTCTTTCCCTCTGGGCTCACTTCCATCAGATCTTCCCTTTACTGCCCTGAATGAATCCTGTCCAGGGCCCTGGTGCGTGTAGTCTCAGAATGAAGGTGAGAAAACACAGAAGACGTTTTGCTCATACAATCAAGAACTGAAAAGGCGTATAAAGGAAGGCCTCGCCAATCTGAACAGTCTTCCACCTGATTTCCAGCAATGTCTTTGGGTGTGAATGTCTTGGCAGACATAACACCAGCCTGTAACCATGTAGACTGCAGTCACCTAACTATAAAACGCTTACAGGGAAGGCCTGATCCTCTGACACAGCAGTCAGCAGACTTTTCTTTAGGGGCCAGAGAGTAAATTTTTTAGAATTCGTGGGTTAGAGTCTCTGTCACAACTACTCAATCTACCCTTGTGGCGTGAAAGCAGCCACAGTCAGCGAGTTAAGAAGTGTGGCTGTGCGCCAATAAAACTTTCTGTACGGGCACTGAAATCAGAATTCCACATACTTTTCATGTGCCATAAATATTCTTCTTTTGATTTTTTCCCACCCACTTACAAATATAAAAACTATTCCTAACTCGTGGGCCATACAAAAAACAGGCAGTGTGCTGAGTTTGGCCTACGCACCACAGTTTGCCAACTCTTGCTCTAAGATAACAAACAGGGGGAGGTGCTGTCTGCTTCTTGTACACAGGGGATGAACCAGTGTAGTCCTTTAAAAACAGAACTCCACTGGACACTGACAGCATGGCTCCGCTCGTCCAAATCTGTCTTGAACTTGTTCTGTCTAACCTCACCTGTTCTGCCCCTGCTCCCTTGCCTTTCCTTCCACCAGACCTAAAACCAGGGAAGACCGTGCTGGAGAGGAAACTCATCCAGCAACCCCTAGCTAGAACTCTTCTGAGAAACAGGAAAGCAGAGGCCTGAGCCAGCTAGAAAGAAGGTGCCCAAGACCTGGCACTTGACAGCCAACACTCTCCATTCTCAGGGTGCCCTGAGAAGCGCCAGGAGCCAACTATTTCTTGTCCAGAACTTCAACACATGATTTGGTCTCCTAAAGAACAGCATATCAGAGAGCGTTACAAGGGAAGAGAGAAGAACCCTGCTACAAGACATGGGCCTGACACTGGTACTAAGAGAGGCACAGCTTGTGGCTGTTCAGTGTGGAGACAAGTAATGGTAACTGGCACTTGAAGGCATATTTATTACCGAATAATTCAGTAACTGATTATATTTCTGTAAGCTGTTTAAGAATAGGAAGACATGGATATACATGTTATATTTTAGAAAGATCTTGCAAAGCAACATTAAAAAAGTTCTGAAAGTCTTCTGGACAAAAATGGAGAACTAAAATACATTTACTTCCACTTCCTCTCAAGGAAAAGGATTAAAGAAAAATTAAACCAAAAAGAACAAAGGGAACTGAAAAGGAAACAAACTTCTGGAAGCTGGAGATGGAAGGACTAATTGTAATCAGCCTAGCTGATCTCAGGCAGGGAACCCCACACTGACAGTGAAGAAAGCCCGCAGACACTCCCATCTGTCCTGGGGAGCCTCCAAAAGGCTCAAGAACCTCTGGAAGCAGGAGATAAGGCAGGTCAATAACGGGAGGATTAGTCAAGATCTGTTTAGGGAGCTACTGAATCCCTGGCTTCCAGCCCACTCCGTGTAGCCTGGCTGCTGCCCGCCCCCCGCCCTGCTGAGGACCAGAGCCTCTGTTTCTGGAGAGGGCACAACAAAGGGTGTCTGACATGGGGGACACCAGCTGTAGTTGTTGGGAGTATCTTAAAACAGAGGGACTAAGTGAAAGATTAACTTCATTTCTCTGTTCAACTCCCAGAAAACTTACACCCTGCAGGTGAGAGACCAGAAGATTATTCTCTAGAGAACCTTATTGTCCAAGAAAAAAGGCCCACATTCAGAGTTCCCAGACAAACAGCCCAGCCAGATCACTGGAGTGAAACCCACACTGGCGGTGCTGTGCACTCAGGTGCAGGTTGTCACTCACCTGAAATAGGAACACACAGGCACAGACCCCACTATGCAGAAAAGCAACAACGAAAACCAACGCGCCCCCCACAAAACCATCACTAACATTCTCAGAGAGATAAGAGAAAAAGACCTCGTGAAACAAAAATAGGAGACTATAAAGAGTTTAACTTGAGAATTATTACATGAGAGCAGAAATGAAAAACTCAATACAAGAATTAGAAGATAAAACTCAGAAAATCTCCCAGAAAGTAGATTTTAAAACCAGGCAAGAAAACTAAGCAGGAATGGAAATGAGGTGGCAGGCAGCCAGCTGATGATGCAAAACACACGTCCCCTGCCCCGCAGCCCCGCCCCACAGCCCAGCTGCTGCACAGCCAGCCCCAGCTTCTCGGTGGCATCACAGAACTGGCTCCTGTCACAGGAGCATGAGGCTCCCCCAAGCTTCCCACCATCGCATGCCTTCAGAAAGAACCCTGGGCCTCAGGGATAAAGGTGGTGCAGTCAGAAGGAAGAAAGGGTCAGGGTCTACACTTAGGACTGGGGTACAACTGAGAACACGCACACCAAACCTGGTGTGGATGAGAGGTCAACTGCCACTGTTAAATCACTAAGATTTTGGGGTCATGTGTCACAGCAGTTAGCTCCCTCTAGTAAAAAGAGAAAAAATGATACATTTAGAGGAAAGGCCGAGGAGACTGGACATCTGAAGAGTGAGAATTATATTAAGAAAGAGAATAGGAAAAAAAGAATTTAAAGCATTAAAAAAAATCAGTGAACTTTCTCAGAATTGAAAGTGTCCTTTAGATCTTGGAAGGCTCCATCATCTATCTGGCAGCATGGGTGAAAACAGACTCACACTGGAGAGTCAGAGCCCAGCAGGGAGAGGAGGCTTCTGCACGGAGGAGGTGGTGGAGGCAGCGATGGGAGAGCTGTTCCACAAAGGAGTACTGACCAAGCAAGCAGACGTGGGAGCCGCCTTCTCACCACCCGAGATGGGAGTAACAAGTGCAGGAAAGGAGAAAAGGAGAATGAATGAACCCTGTGGGGGCTGGAGAACACTCTTTATGGAGAGGGGGAGTCTATGACCACCTGGTGCCACTCCACAGCCCTCTCTGCCCCCGACTGAACCTGGGTTCTGTCACTACGTGACCAGTAACATGTGGTGGAGGTAATGTGTGCCAGTTCCTAGGGCCAGGCCCTTCTCTGGGGACTTGTCCTTGGACCCAGCCACCATGAAGAAAAAATATTATTTCCAATATTCCATTATTTCCATTATGTCCATATTTATTATGGACAAATGGAGAAACGGAGGTAATGTGTGCCAGTTCCTAGGGCCAGGCCCTTCTCTGGGGACTTGTCCTTGGACCCAGCCACCATGAAGAAAAAACATTATTTCCAATATTCCATTATTTCCATTATGTCCATATTTATTATGGACAAATGGAGAAACGGGAATCAGGTCTGAAGATTAGCTGGTAGAGCTAGGTGTCCGTGCTAACTTCCTGATTTGCTGGTTGCACTGTATGTATGTAGGAGAACGTCCATGCCTGTAGGAAATACACACCGCACACTGCAGGGGTTCGCATGTTCAAGACAGCCCTGTCAGCGAGCAGCAGAGAGAACCAGGGGCCTCACGGCTCGAGAACGTGAGACCCCCAAAGCCCCTGTGTCTTACTAAACTGAATCTAAACTTATTATGGGGATTTAAGATATAGGTTTGTAAAAAATTTTTACAGTTTGAAAATTTTTGATGAATTAATTTTAAGACCCTGGGACCTGATGCATTAGCTAGGCAACGCTGCTCTGGGCCAGTGCCATTTGGAAGGTCCCTGACTGGGTGACATGGCCAGGTGTGGGCGGACGCTCAGAAGAGGCAGATTACCCGGGAGCAGGCTTCTTCTGAGGGAGGCGGCTGGGTGGCTGGGGCGGCAGGGGTGGGGGCTTGCTCTGTGAGACCCCAGGCTGCAACGGCTTGCTCGGCTGGCCCAAGGCTTCCATCACACTGGGTGTCTTGGCCACAGGAGGGGGCGGTGTGGGAGTCAGGGGATCTGCGGAGAGAGAAAATGAGAGAGAAACACACAGGATCAGCTTCCAAGGCTTCACACTCCAACCTTCTCACCAGAGGCTTTACCAATAAGGGCTTCTATTCCTACTGCTTTTTCCTAAGGAAAAAACCTGCTGCTGTTTCCTTGCTGATTTTCAGAAAACAGTATTAGTAGGAGGGGGTGGAGAGTCTTTTCCAAACTAATAAGGAAGCTGAAAGCCTAAAGTTACAACTGAAATTTTTCTATTAGCTTGTGAGTATTTTCTCAGCTAGAAGTCCTCATGGGGAAGCCAACACGGTTTTCTAAGCTCAACTCTAAGCCATTGCAGCAGCAGGCTGGGGCCCGGTTTTGGCCCTATCTCTGCCCTGGGAGCTGGGCCTTCTGGGGCCAGGACTGTTTGCCTCCACGGGCCATCACCAAAAGGTAACGGGGCCCTATTTCACCAGGCTGCCAAGCAGGCACAGACCTGAGGGCAGATCACGGATAGCTAACTTTGCAAAGGCTCCACAATCTGTGAGGTGAGCAGGGCCAAGAACTTTATTATAATATACATTTTACAGACAAGGAGGCTGTGGCTCAAGGAAGTAAAGTGACTTCCTTTGCCGAGGAAGACAGCTGGCGAGACATGGAGCCAGGTCCTGAGCCCGCGTCTTCTTTCCCCATTGCTCCTCTCTGACAAGTGCTGAAGCCCACTGTAAATGCCTGGCTTTACCACCCTGTGGTCCTGGTTAAGGGGCGTCTATGGCAGGATGGGAGCTAACACATGCAGGAAGCCAGGGGGAGCAAGGTCTTCGGCTGGCCAAGGAGGGACCTTGGGGTGGTCTTGCTTTTCTTTTTTCATTCTTGTTTCCTTCTTCTGTTTTAAAGGAAAAGTCAAAAGGCAGATTCTAACACACAAATCTAGCCCCACGGACAGCAGACTATGAGGTAGGAAAGTGGGCTCTGGCCTACTACGTGCCCCTTTTGCTGCTCGACTTGGATACGCCTCAGCTTGGCCCCCCAACCCCTCAGCCTTGGACGGCCTCTGGAAGACCCTCCCAGACACACTGCTGACAGCTCTGCCACCAGCAAATGCACATGTGGCACTTACTGTAGCTGGGGTGGGCTGCTTTTTATTTTGACTTACTTCAAGGAAATCAAAGCACCTTAGCCCAGGAAATATTCTCAGTGCTCTGGAAGCAATGAGCCCAGAGATGCTGGACTTGTCCCTCCCAGAGCCAGTGCACAGCAGGAAGGAGACAGGGCAGCATCCTGTTTGTGTCGCTGACTCAGCAAAAAAGACACTTCGGCTCTGCATGTCGGAGAAAAACCTCTTCCCACAGCCTCCCACCCTGAGGTTTTGGGGACTTTCAACCACATGTTGACATTGAAAAAAACACATGCTAGATTATGATCCAAATGACTGTCCCCAAATATTAGAAATCACCAAATGGCCAAAGGAAATGGAAGCCCAGGGGTACTGTGTAAAGGAGGAAATGTTGCTAAAATGCTTTGGAAGACGGAGAGAGTGAGGGAGGCATCATAGGGTGTGGAGGTGGGGCAGACAGGCTGGTAGGCTTGGAGGCCCTGTTGGAGAGCCACAGTAGGCCACACACCGTCGGGCCCCTGGCACATATCTTTGCCAGTGGGTGTGCAGCTCTGCAGCTCTCTCCCCATGTAATGCCCCTCTGCCATCCAGATCTACAAAGCCCATGGGCAAGAAAGGAAAAAGGAAAGAAACGTACTGGTCGATGTCACTCGAAGAGGGGGCAGCGGGGGATGGACAGCTGGCGGATCTGACGAAGATCGCTGCCTGCTCACACCGTCCACACTTACAGAGTTTGTCTTCCACAGGGTGTTAGCTGAGGAGGCTGTCTGAACTAAACCCGCACACATGCACGTGCACACACACACACACAACAAAAACAGAAACAAAACACTGCGTTATTGATCCTCTCCCTTATAAAATGATCCACATGACCCTTCTAGAATAGCAGATATGCGAGGGTACTTCAACAAGTTCATGGAAAGATTCATACTATCTTTTAATTTTATTTTCACCAACTTTTTGAGGTATCCTTGTAGAACGCTGACCTTTTTTATTCTTATCTCTGGTAAATGGAAAATAAATACTGATACCCACTAAACCAAAGTCGCTTCAGGGATCATTCCCAGCTGGTTTTCTCAACGGGACTGTGAAATTTCTAAATTCCTGATTTTATTTCTGAAATTCAAATACTGTGTGAAAAGGTAAATATGTCATCACAACCCTGCCTCCTGAGCACTGTGTTAACTGCTTATGGAACTGGGAGCCTGTGCTCATCTCTGCCATTTCAGCGAGTCCCCGCTGTGGCTGTGGGGGTCATCGCTATGCAGGGAGGGCAGCCTGTCCCTGCCTGGGCTGCTGGAGGGAGGGTGCAGGTCACACAGCAGGGCAGGGTACTCCCCACTGACCTCCTGCAAACAAACTTCTGGCCAGAAGCTAGCACGTATGGCACGAAGCAGGTTCAGGAACCCACAAAAGAGATGGCATTTCCCTGATCACTAGCCCTTCCTCTGCCTCACAAGCTCCAAGTTCAGGTGCACAGGACCCACGTGTGCAGGTGTGGCTCGTGTTCTGAGGCTGTGCATGGCCTATGGGAGGGCTGGGCCTGGGGACAAGAACAGGCCACCTCCTCACGGGCCTGGTCCAGAGGAAGCCTCCACACTGCTCCTGCAGCCAACAGGGTCTGCCCAAAAGTGCCAGGCTGACGACGGCAACTCCCTTTCTGTTAATTTGTTGGGTGGGAATTACACAAGTGTGGACTAGATGGAGAATAGGGCAAGACCCATGGGGGGGCGGGGCAGCAGGTGAGAAGTACAGTCCACGTCATCTAAAGAGGAAGTGAAGCTAAAGACGAGAATGGCAAAAATGAATATGAAGAAAAAAAAAAAAAAATCAAAGCCTTCTAATTCCAAGACTGTAGGACACCAAGAAATCAAGATGAAGAGCTCACCATGACCCAAAAGAGCACATAAAACCTTTCCTCATGTGACACACGCAGCTAGAAGATGACCAAAGCACTTTGCCTCTGGACCTTACAGAATTAATGAGGAAGAATTAGTGGAAGGCAACGGGATGCCACCTGCAGGCCAGCCTGGGGAAGGGATGGGGAGGAGACTTAATCTTGCAATTGCCTTCCTGGCCCAGGGAAGCCCTCGTCAAGCCCGGGCAGATGCTGGGAAGAGGTAAGCTGGCTGGTTTCTGGGCCTGCTCTCAGTGGGTTTGCTCTGAAGACTGATTCAGTGACTCAAACGATAGGTTCATCGTCACTCCTCTGGGCCCCTCTGCGTGACGGGGCTGTGAGACACCCAGGACAGCAGGGGGCCAGCCACCCTTCATGCCATGGTCTCTCACCCTTCATGCCAGCTCTTCCAGCCCCTGCTACCACTGCTCACCTGCACTCCCTTCCCCTCTGCGTGACGGGGCTGTGAGACATCCAGGACAGCAGGGGGCCAGCCACCCTTCATGCCATAGTCTCTCACCCTTCATGCCAGCTCTTCCAGCCCCTGCTACCACTGCTCACCTGCACTCCCTTTCCCAGTGATTAGCTATCGCATACACACAATTCGGGACGTATTTTTATTATGACATACGCTCCGCACCATAAGCAGCTCAGAGCTGCCACAGCGCCTGGATAACATGCTCTTGTCCTTTCTAGCCCCTTCCCAACAAAGCCTGAGCAGCTCTTCCCTCACCTGGAAAGCCTTCTGAAAGCCACTGGCCATGGCTGACTCCCCAGCCCAGAGCTGAGCCAGTCACCTGCTGGGCTGCTTTCAAGGAGCATAGTAGCCAGCTGGTCTCCAGTACTGGGCAAATTACTTAACTTTTGGGAGCTTCAGTGTCCCTATTTATAAAAACAAAAACCACCACCTGTTGAGCCACACTTGCTATTCTGCGACAGAATAGCTGAAGTAAGTACAGCATGCTTTCTGCACTTCAGGCAGTGGTAGGACCCACAGGGGTGATTTTGTATTTTTACAATTAGGCTGAACACGGCTCCCCAAATTAATATCTTTTTATCCTTCATTTCATGGGGATCACGGAGAAAAAATAATCACAGGTGCACAAACTGGCCCAGTTGCAGGCAGAGGAGAAATAAAAAAGGGAAGAAGGAAAGCCACGGGAGGGGTAGCGAGTGGAGAAAGAGAAAGGAACAGAGAGAAAAGGTGTGCAGGAAAGCATCTCTCGGCACCAGTATCCAAATCACACGGGTGCCACACCTCTGCCCAGAGTAAGAATCAAGTCAAGATACTCTAGCACCATGTGGCGTCATAGAATGATGGACTCCTTTTAGGAAGCAAATGGAAAAAACCACCAAAGAGCCCAAATGTCACCTAGTTGGAGGCAAAGCAGCTACAAACTTTCCAAAGCACAAAACAAAACAAAACCCTCCATGCGTTCTCAGGGTAATACAGACAGGTTCCTTACCTTTGCCGACATTGCGAGGGGGGAGTGGGGGTGCGCTGGTGGTGCTGGGGGCTGTGGGCTGGGTGGGAGGCGGGCTGCCGCTCAGAATGGCTCCGTAGGTCTCATTCTGCAAGATGCTGGGCACAAAACCCCTCTGCTTGTCCTTGGCAAGGTTTGCAGCATCTCTGGCCAAAGACGCAGCATTAGACTGAAGCTGGTTGGATCCCAGCTGGTAGAAGCTGACGGGCCGGTCTTCCCGCCGGTTGGGACTAGGCTATAGAGGAACACCAGGGGCAGGGCGTGTGAGAAGGGGACACGTATCTGTCTTGGTGATAACATCCAATGTAGCGATGAGAACTCACATAACCTCTTTGCTTTGCATCATGCCATTTTAGCACTCAACTGTTGCCTGAGAGCTGCAAGATTTAAAACTCACTCTTCTTACATCTCACAATTAAAACACATACCACTTCCCCTAAAAAAGCCATGACTTAAGAGTTAAAATTCTTCATTCTGTGGAGGATTTCAAATATAAGCTATTTCATCTTATTGGCCAGAGTTACGTCAACCTCGCTGTGAATTTTCCCTGTGGTTCCCCTTCCTAAATATGCTTTCTTAGGTTACAGGACAGTATAGCTGGCTCTGGCCAACCGGCTGCAAACAATTTCCAACAGCTATATGGAGAACTCAGTGGAGATCAATGTTTTCTTCCTATATGGGACAGGAACTCTTGAGATTCCTCTAACTCAGGGGTTGGCAAACTGCAGCCTGTGGGCCACCACCTGCTTTTATAAATAAAGTTTTATTGGAACATGGCCATGTCCTGTCATTTATATGTTGTCCATGGTTGCTTCGGAGCCATCCTGGCTGAGCTGGAAAGTTGCAACAAAGACTGTGAGATTTTAGGCCTGGGAGCCTAAAATATTTGCTGTTTGGCCCTTTAAGAGTTTGCCCATCCCTGCTCTACCTGAAGGTCATGTGCTTTATTGGAAACTAATCCATAGACTTATGACTCTGGTAACTGAGTTCTAACTCATACTTAAAATGGCAGCTTCATTACACTAAGCTCTGATCTTTAGCAAATTATTTAACCTTGCTGCCCCCATTCTCATCCGTTAAATGGGTATAACTTTGCTCCTCTAGTACAGTGCCAGGAGCTTAGCAGATGCTCAGTATCAGATGCTGCATTCCCCCCCTCCCCCTAGGACCACCCACCCACTATAGGTTCTGGCCAAATCAACAGCTCAAACCCAGATCTCAGCAGCCAGTGGCTTTTCACATATATTCCTAAATTCCAATGAAGCCCACAGATGCAGGGACAAACCATGCCCACCGCTCTGCTAGAAATCCAGTGAGTGGGGTGCATGGGTCTTCGGACTGCTGACCAGAGCCCTTGCTTTCACTATTACTTGGACTCTGCTACCTGCCTCATCACTTGCCCATCAGATGGGAATGTGAGGCGTAACCACGTGATGAAGAGGCACTCTGGGGCAGGCTGCTTCAAACTTGTTTTTAAGGCAGGTAAGCATAAAATTAGTCAGCTCTTTTCACTGTGCTACTGTTTTGTAGCTAACTCAGTGAAGAAATTTCTTATTCTGCATTCTAAGAAACAGTAAGTATAGATGTTAACTGCTCCAGGAACGAAGATAATCCAATAGGCTTCAGAAATTCCATTCTATCTATCTATCTAAGCATCCTCAATACACACCAGAACACTAAAGTCCCACGGTAAAAATAAAAAATGTAAGCCACAGGAATGTGTGTACCATGGCACTTCCCACAATCTGCACACAGAACGCTTTTCAGGCACATCTCGCAGCACACTGCTGAAAGGGAGGTGGAACAGGGGCAGCCAAGAGTATGGACTTTGGGGTCAAACCAGCTGAGTTGGACTCTCGGCTCTGAGACCTGTGAGAGGTAGCAACCTTCTGGCTCCACCCACGTGTGCAAGGCAGTGAGTGTGCTGAGAGGGAGGTGCATTAGGAGGCAAAAGCCCTCCTTCTAGTCCCAAGGCTGCTTCTAAATAGTTGCTGCCCTTAGGCCAAGTCAACCTCTCTCTTGCAGCTTCAATGTCTCCATTTGATGAAGGAAGGAGTTGGACCCAGAGAGCTCTAAGGGTCGTTTAATGATTCCAGTACCAGTTCTTATGATCAACCAGGTGAACATGATCCTCTACACTGGGGGGAAGCTGGCTCTTTATAACATAGTTATAAATTGAGTGAGCTTCCTCTAAAACACACTGGAATCAAAGGCCCTCCTATACCTTTCCCAGCAGGAAAAGGTGAGTAGTGGCTTCTGATTACATAATTAGCTGGTCCTTTAAATTAATGTGCATAGGAGCTGGAGACAGGAGGTACTTGGGGTGGGGGAAAACCTACCAAGACCAATGAAAGCAAAAAGTAAGCTATGTTTTTTTTTCTACAAGACAGCTTTCTGCCTTACTGACAGGCTACGACCCCCCATGGCTCTGAATGAAGCTTATGAAAACCCTTTTAACATTTGGCAACCTGGCACAGACCTGCAATTTCTCGTCCACATCGTCATCACTTTCGTCCAGGTCTTCGTGGAGCAATCGCCATTCATACTCAACGTGAACGTGAGAATTAAACCTTCCAGATAAGGCTTGGGTCAGCTGAGAACAGCAAAGGGAAGGTCAGTACTGCTGCTCATGCACTCAGCCCTGGAGGCAGGCACCCTGAGGTGTCCAGACAGACAGCAGGGGGACAGTGCAGAAGCAGAGTCCCAGGAGGCCTGGCCCGGAAGGTAGGGAGCCTACATTCTACTCTGAGGCAAGCTCATTTAAATCTCTGGGTCTCAGGTTGAGCCCCTTCCACCCAATTTGTAGGATAATCTTGAAACTCAAACCTAGTAATTCCCAGTAAATGCTCTGCAAACTGTAGAGTGCTGTACACAGGCAGGGATATCTGAGAGCTAAAGGATGATGATCAAGTACTGATACTATGATGATCAGTGACACAAGCTGAGGGGCTCAGAGCAAACCCCCTTGCCCACACCCACGCTGGCAGGGAGACTCACCAGCTCCTCACAGCGCTCGTGCTTGAGGCGTTTGGCAATGTCCAGTGGAGTCTCTCCTGACTCATTTGCTAAAGGTCAAAGGTGAAGAAAGGAGGCATTATGGCAAAGTCAGCAAAGGTCTGACATCTGGGGCAGTTTCCAAAAAGATACTATGAAGAAGCACTGAATTAAATTGAGCACAAGTAATGAGATACAGTTAGTGTGACCTAGTTGGGGTTGAATTTGTCTTATAATTCTATAGAACTGCAGCACAGTATAGAAGGTAAGATTTTAAAAAGCAAGGTTTGAACTAATGAAGATAACAAAACTGTTGAAACAGCCTACTAATAAAAATCAATATCCAAACTATAAGTTGTTGAATAAATCAGTTTATCTCTAACCCAAAGCACTGCTAACCTAGTTCCATGCATTTGAATATAATAACCTTTTATATCTCCTTTTTGTACTTCTAAATAAGTCTCAGTCGATGAGGTTTGATTATTAATCTTTTAAAAAAGAAGCATGGCTCTCAAGCAGACCTGTGTTTTTTCCTATTTTTTCTTTGTTCAGTAGTTCTTTAAAAATACTTCCTCATGAAATGACAACAGCTGGCTGCCCTCAAGGCACAATGGTCAGCGTGTCAGGGAGGGACCAGCGTGTCAGGGAGGGACGAAAGCCAAGCAAGAATTACGGTCTCTTGTGGGGAGACTCGGTGCAAATGAAAAGGAGGGGCAGTCAAGAGCATCTCCCCCAACTAAACCATGTAAATCCAGAGACAAGCAAGCGCTAAGTGATGTCAGAAGGAGGTGAGAAGGCTTAGGGTTTGTTAACAGGAGGCTCAAATTCCCCAGCTTTGCCCAAATCCCCCCCCCAGCAGCAGAGACAGCTGCAAGGCCTGTCCTTAGCCTTTCTTATAATCTGTAAAATGCCTATAAATGCATCCAGAGTCTAAGCAGGTGGGTGAATACTGCCGGTCAACACTGAGCCCACATCAGCCTCGCAGAACATGAAAGGAGAAGGCCTTTCTTCTCAGAGGCAGGTTTTCCTCTGATAAGAGCCAAGAGCGTTGGTACCGCTGCTTCCAACTGCATTGCGGAAACTGCAAACGGGAGGCCACTCACCTATCTCAATGGACGCCTTCCCCCGCAGGAGGAGCTTCAGGCACTCAGCATTGTCAGTCAGGCAGCAGTAGTGCAGAGCGGTGCTGCCTTTACCTGTCTGTTTATCCAGGTTCCCACTGGCCCGGAACAGGGACAGAGAAAAGAGAACAGAACAGTGACTCACAGACCAGCGGACCAGGGCTTGCCTGGCAGGGAACGCAGGGCACGTGAATGGGAGAGGCAGTGGGCAGAGCCCATGAGTGAATGGTTTCTCTAGACTGTCCCTACAGTGGGTGGGTGGAAACAACAGTACACGGTGAGGGGGACACCAACTGCACCATCCCTACCTGTGTGGATAAGGAGGCCTTGGTACACGCAATCAGAGAAATAACACTGTGACAAAAGAGGAGGCCAAAAAGGGAGCAGGCATCTGTGTTCTGCTGAGCAGGGGCTGGGGTAGGGGACAGTGCCCAGGGGCTGCTGTGTCCTGCTGGGCCTCAGGAAGTTTGCATGACTCACCATCCTGTCCATGAGCTTTTTTCCATCTTATTATTTGATACTCCCACCAGGAAGGGGACTTTCCTGAAGTCCAGAGTCCCAAGGCTCCTGAGCCTGTTCGCCCTGGGACTGCCTTCTGGAAGCAGGCTAAGGGGGATCCTTGAGAAGATTTTCAAGAGTTCTTCCAATGTAAAACAAGGCCAGGCTATCTAAAAAAGGGTGCCCATGCTCCCCAGACATGGAACAAGCCATTCAATCCCCCAGGGGGAGGCAGCCCTGTAAGTGTGGAGGGACAGTGGGGCTCTGCGCCCCTGGACAGACAAGTGGGGACAGAGGAGTGACCTCAGGTGGTGGAACCCACTACTCCCATCAGGAGGAAATCGGCAACATTTTCAATGTAAAAAAGCCTTGCTTTCTGATCTCTCCTCTACTGCTGTCCTTCCAGTCTGGAAAAAAAGGATCTAGAATTTTCCTTCTGCCCCCAGAGAATTTACAATGAGGGAGAGACATCATTCAGCTATTCACCTTCCACCAGGAGTCCAGTGAACTCGGGCTCCTCAGGAAGGGGATGTAGGTCTTGGGGATGACCCACCCAAAGCCCCTCTACTTCTGGACATTTCTTCACTCCACCATCCAGGAATGATAGGGAAACACAGGATATAAAATGAAAACTATTACATTGCTTTTGCACTGTAGAATTTTCCATTTCATTTGGAGCAATTTCAGTGGCTTTCAACCAGCACCTCCCCCTCGGACACATATATACCCCAAACCATGATCAGGGTAGTCAAAACACACATTGAAGGGACTTGGAGACTGGCCTTCAGCTGCCAGGAGGTAACACACACAAGTGAAACAGTATACGCCAAACAACAGGGACTCCTGTGCCCATGTTAAATTGTACGTGCACATCCCTAAAGGCCATTTCTACTCAAAAGCTTAAGAACAACTTCTCAAACCAAACAAAATGCCCATAACCCAGTGTTCTGGTTACACTCTGATATGAGTCAGATATGTCCCCCAAAAGTTCATATGTTGGAAATTTGATCTTCATTGTAACAGTATAAAGAGAGTGGGAAATACAATTACGGTATTTGAAACGGGGGACCTCTGAGAGGTGATTGGATCATGAGTTCTGTGCCCACATGAATGGACTGATCCATTCATGAGTTATCAAGGGTGCAATTCTTTTTTTTTTTTTTCCTTTTTGTCTTTTTTCGTGACCAGTAACGGGATCACAACCCTCGGTGTCGCACCCGTACCGTGACCGGCAACGGGATCGCAACCCTCGGTGTCGCGCCCGCACCGCGCTCAACCAGTGAGTGGACCGGTCTCTATATGGGATCCGAACCCCCGGCGGGAGCGCCACCGCGCTCCCAAGCGCCGCACTCTACCGAGTGCGCCACCGGGCCGGCCCAAGGGTGCAATTCTGATGGCTTTATAAAGAGAGCAAGTGAGAAGATTAACTTTCTTGCTTATGCCACTTCTTGTCACGTGATGCCCTGGTCACTGTGGGACCCTGTAGAGAGTTCCCACCCAGAAGAAGGACCTCACCAAATGCACCCCATTGCCTATAATCTTTCCAGCCTCCAAACTATAAGAAATAAACTTCATTTCTTTATAAATCACCCAATTTCAGGTATTGTTATAAGCAACAGGAACAGACTAATACACACAAATGGTGGTCACAGGTCCCAGACACACAATCTGCTTTCCAGGGCTCAGATTCAGCAGCTGTGTCTACTTGGTGTCTCTCTCAGTCCCAGACACTAGAAGTTGGATCTTGCGGATACCACGAAGGTTTTCTATTCTCACATTCTGGGGCTTTTTTTTTTTTTAGGATTTCCAAAAAATCCTAAAGCAAAAATCCTGAAGCAATGAGGTAGCATATGATTCCTGCCTTGGAAATTCCAAGGAACAAAAGCAAACACCTCCCTTAATTTCAGAACACCTACCTGTTCTGAACTAAAAAGTCTACAATGTGAAGAGAAGTCCGATCCACAGATCTGACTGCAAGATGGAGGGCCGTTTCATCTGGCTCCTGAAAACCAAACAAACATAAATTTAAAAATATTTATGTAACTCACTTAAAAATCAATAATAGTAAACCTATAGCTACCTATGTTAACACCAGTAATGTTATCTTTTTATGAAAACTTCTTTTTATGAAATAAAAATAATTTAGTGACAAAGACATTCCAGAATTCTAATGGTAGCATTCAATGTGTCCAACACAAGTGAAATCACGTATATCTCTTCTAAAAGACTTTCATCTTTTTAATCAAAAAACTTATCTCTAAAATATACTGTGTCCCTGTAATCTCCATAGCAAACTTTCTGCCCTTGGGAACATGCAATTTAGAGATAGATTCTATTCCTCCTTCCTCCATGGGAAATAAATGAGGAATTCTGCAGTTTCATTTCAAAGTCCTCTAGATTGATTGCCCCCGTTCCTGCATCAACAACACAAGTTATTGCCTGCAACCAGAAGTCTTGTTCAAAGAATCCAGGAAGGTTCTCCCAGGCTTCCTGAACTCCAATCCCTTTACCTGCTCCCTGAGTAATTAGAGATGATTTTTTTTCTTTTTTTAAATCTTGCTTCTCTCTCTCCTTGTAAACTCAGTGTCACCTCTGAGAGAGGCCCTCCCTAACCACCCTACCTATGAGACCCTCTAGTCACTTAGAGATGACATGTTCTAAGCAGGGTTGAAGTTTTTCATTCTGTACTTACAGATAAGGCTATGAATGCTAAGACCCATACTCTCTCCAACTCATACTTTATTTCATACAGAGAGATACATGACCACCACTGCCTCTTCAGCAGGTAAGCGTGGCAGGAGGGGGAAAGAAGAGGTGAAAGAGGATGTTTCAGGGAGATGGGTGTGTGAGAGAACTGGAGGGGAAGGAAATATCCAGAGAACAGAGATATGGGGCAGAATGAGGCACCTCCCACCTGCCTGCCCTGCCCTTCTGATCACGGCACAGCTCAGGGTTGAGCATACTTCACGCTTCACCCTGCACTGCCTGGCTTGAGTTCTCTTTAAAGGAGAGAATGGGGCTGCTCCATAGCCTGCGTGTGCATGGACCCACATCCAGGAGCATGTCTGTCACCAGGAGAAAGATGCTGTTACCCTAAGCATCCCCACCCACCCTGGTGCTAGCCTGAGAGGACATGGCTGGATTCCTGTGGTGTCTGGACTTCCAACACGATGGCTCCACAGAGCAGCTCTGCTGATGAGGGGCAAGCCCAGTCCTGAGGTCAGGAGGTTCCAGGGACCGAAGTATGCGTCCACAGGGTGTTGGTGGAAGAGAACCAGGAGACATGCCAACCCCTTTGGCACTGGTAGTTTCCTGTGAACCTGCTCAAGAGAGTTCCCTCAGCAAATGGGAGATGTCTCCCCTACTTCACTCCCTCAGGGAGCAGAGCATGGTGGGGCGCAGGTTGCAGGGAACCATCCCCCTCGAACTCTCCTCATCATCAGTGTGACTTCAGGAGGCCGATGCCGAGGTTCGGCTGCGACCAGGCTCCCAGCAGAAGTGTGAAGCCCATGAGGCTACCTGGGCTGCTAAGATGCCTTCCTCTCTGTCCCAGGGCTGGGTTCTCTCCAGAGCTGGCATTACATTTTTGCTTTAAGAGTAAAGCACTGGCTGGGTACAAAGTTTCAGTGAGACAGGAGGAATAAGTTCTGGATATCTATTGCACTGCATAGTGACTACAGTTGATATTCGTAATAATGTGTATTTCAAAATTTCTAAAAGAATAGAGGTGATGGATATGTTAATTACCTTTAGTCATCCCATACATTAATATATATCAAAACAGCACACCGTACGCCATAAATATATATGCAATTATTTGTCAACTAAAAAAAAGAATAAACCACCAGTTTCTTCCTTCAGAACTCAGTGCTATCTTCTTTCACAGAACTACGAAGCTCAGTCAGCATTTATTACACTGCCCTGCCATTCTTTCCTTTTTCTTTTAAAAGTAGCAACCCACACTCTTACATGTCCATTGGCCAGCGGGATTTTTTCAGTGAGATCCACACCATCAGCATAAGCTTGGAGTAATCCAAAAATATCTCTAGTCTTCACGGCCTCGCAAAGGCTGTGAAGCTTTGCTGCATTATCTGCATGCTTTTTCCTTGCATATCTCCTCTCGATGTACTTGGCCGTGATGTAGTCCTTTCTTGCATTCCTGAAACCAGACATAATTCCCTTGTACATCACAAAGGGCCTCCAGTCAGTCATCCAGCATTCGCTCATCCATAAACACTTAAAAAACCCTGCCCCACCCTCCTGGTGAGCAGCACAACAGCAAGATGCAACGCAGGCGTGGCGCCATGTGGCTCCTGGAGCACCAGTGCTCACTGCGACCCAGACACTTTCAAGAAGCTGTCCTGGGCCTCACCCAGATGGAAGGGATGGCGGCCAGGTGGACAACTCCCTGACGTTCTCAGCCTACCGGCCTCTGCCTGTCTCCCTCCTCCCTCCTGAAGGTCTGTGCTCCCACCTCGTCATGCCGGTGCCCTCTACCTGGCATGCTTGTGGTACCTTCTCTCCTGAATCCACATTCCCTCCACAGCCACTCATGGGCCATCTACTCCAGGTGGGCCGGCCACCCTTCCTCTGCCCTCCCAGCCACGCTGGCCTGGCCTCTGCTCTAACCCTCTCTCCCCAGTGGTTTGCCTGCCTGTCTGCCCCACAGGCCCACAAGCCCCTCAGGGGCACACCAACGGTGTCCTCTCTTTTGTAGGCACCATGCTGGGTATAAAAGGCAGTAACTGTCAGAAGAACCAAAGTGAACTGTTGGTCTTCTTTGTGTTCTATTTTCTGGCCTTTAAATGGCACTGTGCTCAGACTCCACCCTATCCAAGGAGCCCTGAGGGGCAGCAAAGCCAGAGGAGTTCAAGAAGCCTGGGTTCAAGTCCCACTCCCAGCACATACTGACAGTCTGAGCTTGAACAAGTATCTCATCTCTTCAGGCCTCAAGTGAAAATGCACACAACAGGTCTTCTTAGAACTGTGAGAAGTACATAAGTTAACATGGCTGTGGAGCACACAGTAAGTCCTAGGACTTTGGAAAGTGCTGATGAACTTAAAAGGAGAACAGGAGAAACAGCAGCTTACTGGTCAAAAGGTCTCTAAGCATTTAATAATTCCAACTGCTCTTAGGATCTTAACAAACACCAGCAATGCTAAGTTACCTACATCAACCAAGTCAGAAATGTCAAAAAACAACCTGAATATCCATCACCTGATAACAGAATAAATAAAATGTGGTATGTCCATACAATGGAGTATTAGTTGGCAATAAAAAAAGGAATAAGATTCTGACACACTACAACAAGGATTAATCTTGAAAACATTGTGCTGAGTGAAAGAAGCCAGTTACAAAAGATCACATATTGTGTGATTCTATTTATATGAAATGTCCAGAATAGGCAAATCTATAGAGACAGAAAATAGATTAGTGGTTGCCTAGGGCTGGGGTGTGCAGAGGGATTGAGTAGGTGATTAACAGGTATGGAGTTTCTTTTTAGGGTGATAAAAATCTTCAAAAATCAATTGTGGTATGGATGCACAACTCTGTGAATATACTAAAAGCCACTGAATTGTACACTTAAAATGGGTAAACTGTATGGCATGTGAATTCAATAAAGCTGCTTAAAAAAGAAATGCCCCCCGCCCAAATTCTACCAACAATACTTTATTTTAGTCAATAAATCTGTCAGAAATGTAGGGAGAATAACCTGATAGGATTTGACTCCTTGGCTCCTCTTGCCCACTCTTTCCGAAAGGTATGAACTGCACTGAAATTTCAGAAGGTCGGGCAGGGGAGATTGAACTAACAGGAGGGGCTGCACTGTCCACAGGCTGACGGTCAGCACTGAGAGGGCCTAATCTCATACCAGCTCCAGCACTTCCACTGGTGTGACCTTGGCAAGCAACTCAACCTCCTGGTCAGTAAAATAAGGATCGTACCTATCTCTTGGGGCTGCGGCAGGATTACATGAGATAACATTTACCAGAGAAGCCTTCAGCACAGCGTTTTAGGAAGGCCAGCTATGATTATTGAACAGTCAGCCCTAAACAAAGGGGCTAAGGTTGGGAACCTGTCAGCTCCTCTCAGCTCTGGCACCCGGGGCTGTGCCCGCTGCTGCAATCACTGCTGCTTGGTCAGCCCACTCCTCCCATCAACACCATGGAAGTCCTGGCTGAAGCACACCAGGGGAGGGCTCTGGCCCCTGTCTTGCCCACCCTGCAAACCTAGGTTCAGGCTCGTGCCTCAACTTCCCACACTGCACTCCACTGCCTGTACAGCACCCACTGTGGTGCTGAGTGACTTCTGTGTGTGTCACCTACATGAGTCCCACTGGATCTTCAGCACAGTGCTATAAGTCTTTATCTCCTCCACCTTGCAGATAAGTGCACTGAAGTCCACAAAGGCAAGATTAGATTCTGTTTCCTCAAGCAGTTGACAAGCTCCCTGGGGGCAGGTTCTTCTCTTCGGGCCTCTGAGCACAATGTAAGACACTCGGGGAACTAACTGCTCTGCAACCTGCTCCACAACCACTCCTGGCTTGATGACGTGTCATGTTGGCAGCTTATCTAATGATTTAAACCCTACGGGGCCTCTTGTGACAGGCAATTAGACTGGACAGTTGTCAAGTTTTATGTACTTTTAATAGTCACTGTGGGATACTCATTACTGTGATCCCCTGCAGGAAAGGGATAGAGATAAACAAGACTTCCTTATTTTTTTAAATGTATTTTTCATCTGCCCAGGGCTTTCAGTCTGAAGGTAGTTCCTACACAAATGTGGGCACAGATCCATCTATTTACAACACATTCCCTGGTTTTGTGAAGGAGGTTTGCTCTGCCAATGCAATCCCCTTCCCTTTTTAAGAATTTTTTGTTTAAAAGCTTAGGCTTGGAGAAAATGAATTTAATATAACCAAATATAAATTTAGTGTTCAGAGGAGAAGGGCTTTCCTTACCCTTCTGAAGGACAGGATGTGTATAACAGTCCCAAATCACAGAGAGAAAGAGTTCTGGCCTCTGTGAGCAGATACAAGTCTTGCCTTTCCACACCCAGTAATATCCTCTCAACCCCCCCCCAAATACATCTAGGGATCCACAGTCCAGAAGAGGGTATCTCTGATTTCCCCTTCAATAGACGTATCTGCAGATGGTATGTTGCTCTGAGATAAAGCTAGAAACAGTATATTCCTTTTCATCTGGAAGTAAAATGTTTGCTTATTTAAGAAGCACAGAGCTATTTTCTTGACTTGCTGATTCATTAAATATTTACTGAGCCACCACAAGCAACATATTGTGGTGAAAAACACAAAAATGAGTAAGATGCAATTTATCAGAAAAATATGTGTAAATAACTAGGTATAATATAAGTGGGATGAAGTGTTTTAAAATAAAGTCAAATGCTACAGGAGCACCAAGAACCAAACAATTCATTTTAACTGAAGAGGAATGAAAGAAGCTGGCATTTTGCCAGCACACCGGTCATCTGCCCTCATTTTGGAGGGAAGAACTGGGGGGTTGTGTAAACTTCCTTTTCAACAGCACCAAGGTTGGGGATAGGAGAGAACATTTATAATGGAGGATTCCAACTAGGTAGCATGCAGTTTTTAGAATCATCCAGCCCCAGAACAAATGCTCTACTCTTATAAGGTACATCTGGTACTTGGAAGAAATTATTCATCATATACTTCCTTCAGAACTGACCGATGTTACAGCATTTCAGGAGACTGGTGCCTTCAGTGTGAGAAGAACAAGCAGAAAGAGCAGGTGTCAATTAAACAGCAGTAACTAAACTGGCCACACTGGACCATGACATTTCCTCCACTAAACAGGATCCTCTATCCCAGGAAAAGTTTGATCACCTCTAGACAACTCTCTACTAGAAACCTAGAGAAGAGGGCCCTCATTCTAGAGGGTGTGTGGAATCAATGCAGGGTACATATGTGGACTCTGTGGGACACACAACAAAGCAGGCAGAGTAGCTAACACCAACTAAGCAGCAAAGCTAACTGCCCCATGTTTTTCCTCCTCATCTTGCTCATTTCCCCAGTGCCTCTGTGACGTGGGTGGTGTCATCTCCTTTTTTTTGCATTAGAGGAAATTGGGGCTGAGGCTCAGAGAGGGCAAATAACCTGCCCTGGTCCCATGACTCAGGTAAGAACTGGGATATATATGTGTCCCTACCACCCGTCCAGGTCTGGGTAAGAACACAGACTTGAAACTTAACTCTTCATCAAGAGAGGATAAAAAACTTTGTAGGCTTCGTGACTGATCTCTAAAATCATACATTATCCAATTTCAAGGAAATGCTACAGCACAAACACTTTTTACGGGATTCAAACAGAAATGAACTTTAATCCAACACCCACTAAATGGCTCACCTAGGATACCTGATACCTGAGAGAGCCTACAATGGACATGGTACCAGGATGTCAGCTCTCTCACTGTATCAAGATATATCACCAGAACACAAAAGAACACATGTCTAGCAAACTCAATTTCCCGAAGACCTGCCCCACAAAATGGTTACAAAAATCTAAATTCTCTGCTTTTTCAATGGGGCCCACACACTACCACCTATTTGTAAAACCACTCTTGAAGACATTGTACACTGCTACTCAGTGTCTTTTAGGAGAATCCATGCCATTGATTCTATTTCAGCCTTCTTTCAAGAAAAGTGCTACCTCTGTAAATGAATTTTTATACTTTCTCTCCTCCAATATTTTTTTACATTTCCCTCTCTTTCCATAACATTTGCATCCAGCCTCACCACTCAAAGGCTGGTGCTGTCTCTTTTAACTGGCCTGGTGACCTCTCCCTTCTTCCGTCTGCCTCAGTTTGCATTGTGTCACACACAGTAGGTAAACCACCACTAAGCTCTCTCATGGGCAGGCAGGCCATTCTTTTGGTGATAACCAAAACAGTACTGTGCCTTAGGAGAGACGGGATAAGTCAGTAATCACGTCTGCCCACCCTAAAAAAATGTTGGCATATGACCATTTTACTTAAAAGCAGGCATAATGGCACCAGAAAGCCATAAAATAACCTAAGATGCTTCTTACAACTCCTTACCCTAGAACCCTACATGTAGGATGTAACCTAATAACAATTCCAAATCTATATGTCATGTACAATCAGTAGAAACCTGAGGAAGTAATTAGGCAGGCTGTCTTTTTCTCTCTCCTTTGACCCTTTCCCCTTCTTGTGATTATAAAATGTTTTAAGTTCTGCAGGCCCTCTTCAAAACACTGCATTAGGACTGTCTGATCTATATGTCTCCCTGGCTGTTCTCCCATATTGGCTCAACAAACTCTTGCTATATGTATTTGGCCTCAGTTTCTCTTCAGGTCAACACAGGGCTGAAGTCTGAGGCAGGCAGGACACCCAGTGCCCTGACCTGTTGGTCTCCTGTCCACTTCTTTCTCAAAGACCAGTGTGATATGGGCAATTTGCACTTTGTTTGACAACATTAGCAAGAAAATTCCCTGTTGTAAGCTCTGCCTCGCTGGGCAGCTGAAGTCTGAGGCAGGCAGGACACCCAGTGCCCTGACCTGTTGGTCTCCTGTCCACTTCTTTCTCAAAGACCAGTGTGATCTGGGCAACTTGCACTTTGTTTGACAACATTAGCAAGAAAATTCCCTGTTGTAAGCTCTGCCTCGCTGGG